GATGGTTTTTCCTACATTCTCTAAGTTTTCAATCTTAAAGCATGGGGCACTAAACTAAACTTATAACATTCCAAATTTCATTTCTCGATGAGTTAGCAAAACAGCAATGAATTAGCTATTATCTATAAATACAATGTTTAGTTTTTCACGTGCAACTGCAACTTGTGTATGGTACTATTCATTAGCTTCACCATTGTACGCAACTTGTTCAATGATATTCCTGCAACTCAAGTAGATACATGTGCTCATCGAAGTTGCTTAATTCAAACTTATATTCATTTATGTATGTTATGCTTATATATTTAAAAAATTTAAATATTTAAAATTCAATATTTCTAAGATGCAATAAAATGATTTTTTATATAAACAAATGAAATTCACAAAATGAATTATGTGTTTACAAAACACATCGGCTAACTTTTTATTCTTACTTAAACTACTCATGTTTCCATACGGTTTAAATGATTTAAAAGCATTAAAAAAGATCCAAATTTTCCCCCAAACAATTATTTAATTGATTTCTTAACAATGAAAAGGATAATAAAACTAAAATAAAAATAAATGAATATAATAAATATCCCCATGAATTAGAAAAAATATCTTAAAAAACTGATGAAAAATATACATCAACATCATACCTATCTTTATTTCTGAACTAAATTTCTTTTAATACAACTGATGCATATTTAGCAATGTGTTATTTGTAATATAATTTATGCATATTTACCATTGTATAAATTACGTGTGAGTAAAATAATTAAAAACATTTCTGTAAAAAAATCATCAATACATAATAAAATGATTTTGTGCTTATAAAAATTAAAACGCAAATCAAAAAATAAGAAACAGCATTGAATTCTAGCTAAAGATCTGTGATTTTTGGACTAAGGATCATTAAGGAAGATCAATAGATTGTATTATGATATGTAAAATATGGATGTTTTCTGTTATCAAATTTCTAATTTAATTAAAAGTTTTAAATTTCAAATATAATTTAATTTTATATCAACAATTCAATCTTATAAATGAAAGTATTCATATTTTGTTACAAATTGCACTTATAATTTATACTTAATTTTTGTGAATGAATTTGAGACACTTTATAAACACCTGTAAATTAGGATTTATGAGTTAATACATATAACGTATTCATATATTATTTTGAATTTCCAGCGTATTTAACTCATCATTGTTTCAAAATCGACAAAAAAAAATTTGTAACTTTGAGATTGAGATGAATTTTTGGTAATAAACAGTTTGATTGTAAAATAATAAATTATATATTTATAAAAAATTACATATATCAGTGCTCATTCTGAACTATTAAAATTATCATTTCAGTTTCTTAGAAAATATTAATATTTTTTCATAATTAAAATAATTATTAATGAAAATTTGAATAAGAAGTTAATACAACTTAGTTGAGTGAAATTCCTGTGACATCCACATTTTTAAATCTAAACACTGTATTAATATTTAGATCTTTGTATTATATTTTGAGCTGATTACTTCATTATATGTTGGATTGCATAATGCAATATTTTGTCAACTTCGTATCAAAACACGAGTTTTGGTGAATGTTATTGTTTTAAAAGATTGCCCTTAAATATTGATATTATATATATGAATATATTTGTGAAATTATATAGATATAAAAAAAATTTGATTCCCAAAACTTCAGAATTTTTATTATCTAGTGTTTTTTAATTTTATTTTAATAATAATTATATTTTTTAAAATCATAAATAAAGTAGAAATTTAAGAATATTTATTTATAATTTAAAATATGTCAATACTTATACTTATATATAATGTATTTGAATCAAAATGTATATTTCACGCGTGATTTATTTTAGATAGTATCAGTGTGTATATGATACAGCAATTATCATATATGATGTTAACTATATTGTGCTCATCACATGATCAACAAACAATATCTAAATGTATGGTGCTATATACAGTGCTATTGCGGAAGGTATGTGTTGCCTGAAATTTTAATATTTTTGGTATTTTTAACCATATCCATGTAACAAAAACCGTAACTTTCTTGAAATCTTCAGACATATTTAATTGATATGATATACTTTGGATACTAAGCAATAGCCATTGAATGTAAGGAGGCAAAGATTCCTCTGTGTTCTCCATCTACAGGAGGAAAAAAAAAACTCATTCCAAGTCTGGTGTATGATGTGCCAATTGTGGAAGCTGCATACAAGAGATATATAGGGATTAATCCAACGGCAAATACACTACTCCTCTCTAGCATGGGATGATAATAACATGAGGCAAGGTAAAATAAGGACTAAAAGCGTCAATATATGAAATATGGACAACACTGGTAATCCACTCACTCGACAATCAACAGGTTGCCGCATCTTAAAAGTCTAGACCCTTAATGGACAACAAGGGTATTCGACTCACTGGGCATTTACAAGGTGCCAAAATGTATTATATATAATATAGAAAATATGTCAATATAAGTATTGACATATTTTCTATACTTATTGGGGATACTCTGATGTAGATTTTGCTTATTATACCGTAGTCGAGAATGATATTACTTAATGGCATTGCTGCTTCGTGAAACCAGCTGAATTGCACGACCCCTATGCGATCTGATTTTCTCTAGCAGGTACTTCGATCATGATACTTCAGATATTTCCTTGTTCAATGAAGCTGGAGTACAGTATAGCAGTTCTAGACACACCTAAATATGGAGTATGTGTCGTCAGTGACAAAGCATTGTTTTGCTAGTAAGTGTCCACATAGAATTTGATGGCCGTCATACTGATCGAATTAGTGCTCAATACCAATAATTGCATGTTTTAGCAGTTCTAGACACACGTAAATATGGAGTATGTGTCGTCAGTGAAAAAGCATTTTTTTGCTAGTAAGTGTCCACATAGAATCGGATGGCCGGCATATAGATCGAATTAGTGCTCAATACCAATAATTGCATGTTGCAGACAAGAGAAAGTACCACGGCATTCCTGGGGCTTTGATTCTTTATTCCTCACAAACCTTCCTCATCAAACAGAACAATTGAAGGCTTCTCTTTAACTTTCTTGTGGATGGCAGGCTCTTTGGCCCATCCGAACCAAATTAAGGAGGAACCTTTTTTTAGCGAAAGACCACCAGGCCACGGAGGCTCCGTTCGATTTCCGGTAGTGTGGAGATTGCGACTGTGGTGCATATTGACCAGTTTCAATATAGGATGAAAGGTTTTACTGCCAGGAAGCAAGCAGATAAGCAGTGGAGCTGTTTTTAGTCGATAGTCATCCAATGATGATTAAATTTAGCCCGGAGCAAGATTCTCATGTTCCAGCCGACATTCAGCATTCGGCAACTACAGTCGAGACTGTATTTGGCCTGTGTTGTGACTCTGGGAGAGCTCAAGAAATAACAAAGTAGCGTTTGCGATTAATACGATTAGCCAAAGCCAGGAACCACATCAAGGAGCACGTCGTCGTCAGGGCTTGAGCTCCCCTTTCCTTTGATAAGTGTTCCCGGAATGGGGCCTTAAATGCTAGGCCAAGTTTTGCCTTTTGAGAAAACGGTGGGGAGCCTGGCTACGTGACACATTCCCATTTGACTTCACCACGGGCTTCTAGCATTAAGTAAGTTAGATCTAATCTTGTGCGAAGCTGTCAGCGACGATGATTAATGTGCAAGCAGACTGCCTTTTGCACGTACCGTGAGTCACGAAATGTACATAGTTTCCCTTCCCCTACTTTTTCCAGGTATTGGTGACGGTACATACTCTACCATCCTCGTGACCGACCAAGAACACAGTTCGATTCTGCTTGCAGAATCGGCCGAGGTCAAACTTGCTGTTTCTAGAACGCTGTAGCTTGAAGCGGGAGCATCGGATGAGGCATTGAGTGAAACAACATGATATAAATAGATGAGGCTTTAAGCGCTTCAAAGGCTCTTCATCACCATCGCTGTAGCCGTCGATCCCCTTGTCACAAAGTAAAGTACTGTACAGGCTATTTTTTTTCCTCGCTCATTTGATACTGTCCGTGGCTTCCAACAGCAGATTGCGAAACATCGAGATCCCTGTCTTGTATTCTCATGTGTCCTATCACCTTGTGCCGCGCTTTTGAGAAAAACCGAATGCCAGGAACAGGAGAAGAAAGAGTAGCTGGTTACAGATCTCCCGCAGTACTCCGTTACTGATGTCAAGAGTAGGCCGTTGTGGCCCTGTAAGGTCAGGACTTACCCAGTAGCTTGAGCTAATCACTTACGAGGTCGGCACATTTGGTTGTGTAGGAGGGCAGAGCACTGTTGTCATTCGGACTGAGTGCTCTCTGAGGTCCCTTGCGTGATTTTGGGCCAGGTAGTCCTAGTCTTGAGCTGAGTGGTGAGTGCTGTCCGGAACGCTGCTGTCATACTCTCGAGAGGCAGCAGCTGGTTATGATGGGCTGATGTGAACAGAGATAGGAAGTACACGCAGAACCCAGTTCTGCGTCTCTTTTGGCCGGTTGTGGGGAGTGACCGCATGAACTTTGTATTGATGTTGTATCTCGAAACGTTAAAACTGGCGCAGCTCAAGGTGAAGTCAATCACGCTTCGTAACACATGCAAAACTCTCGAGCTACTGAAAGCGTACCAATTCTTACACGGTGTACAGCAGCTTCCAGTCAAAGGTTTAATCCACATCGTTCCTAAAAACCTGGAAGGCATTTGAATAGCACGGTTTTCGGAAAAACAGGGAGTAGAACGCTTACAGTCGCCTATCACAACTGCTTGCTTGAGTCAAAACCGAACTTCGTTTGACTGTTTGACGAAGTTCGGTTGTGTGAAGTGCTGGTTTCCACAGATGTACATTGCAGTAATTTTGTAAGGTTATTCATTCTCTTATGCCTTCACGTAAATAATCTTTGTCTGAAAGCTCGCGGCCAACAATACAGTCAGGTGTATTTCCTGGCTGTAGATCGTACTAACATTTTTAATACCGATACTGATAGTTTCGATTTCAAGACAACACACAAATGCACTTTATTCGCAAGATCACTTCGAGGACGAAGCATGAACGCATTACAGACTACAATCGGTGAGAAACATCTGAATGTATCTTAAATAGGCCAAAGCTGCAAGGCTGAGACATTGTGGAAAATTTCCACGTAGATTAATTTTGTGGATCTAATAAGCCAATCCATACTCCCCAACGGAAGTCCGAAGAACGTTTAAAGTCTTATCTCTATGAAATCTCACCATATTACTGGTAGTCGCTTTCACTGCATCGGCTCTGAAAATAAAGTTCAACTTTGAAGATTGGTGACGTAAGAAATACCGTTGAGTGAAGCCATACTCGATGAGGTAACAGACCGTCAAGAAGCGAAGAGCCTTCCACCAAGTTGGAACACAAAACTAAATGAATGTGCCAACGAAGCCATCCTGACTCATTCTAAGATCCTTGTGAGCGGCTTCAGAGAAACACACACACGGCGCTTTTCCTTCGACATTAAAACGGAAGATAAAATTTCTGGAAAGACGTTGACTCAACAATGTCAGCAAATCGAGCGCACCATTAAGCATTCAAATCATCTTCAGGACAGGTGAAACATATATTAGGATTGGCAATAAGGCATACTTTTGTACGAAAGTAGCCGAGCATTGACCAATCTGTACTCAGTCCTTCGATGAAATAACCAAATTGTGAAGCAGAAATGTACAAATGAGCAGAAAAAAAGATCATCCGTGCCTGCAACTTCTGGCACTCCAGTAGGCCCTTTGCTCTTAACGGCTTTGCGACAAGGTCTTTAGTCTGGGCCTCAACCCCAAACCTTCCCTTGTCCGCTCCAGCTGTACAACCTTCCTACTTCCTCTCATAAACACCTGATCTACTTTTGTTGGCGATCTTCTCTTACTTTTGTTTGCCTGCCAGTCTGATGATACCTGTCTAGCTGGTGGTGACTAGCCCCTCCTTTTGCACCAATCACCATCTTGGACAGGCCTAGTTCGATCCACATCCGGGCGGTGGTAGACGTAACACTTCACCCGTTCTCCAGTCTCTGTGCAAACCTGCAGGCAAAAGAATATTGTTAAGCTGGTCCTCTTTACAAAAGATGCAGAAAATCTGCTCCTATACCGTTGTGTTTACTGGTTGCGGTGTTCAAGAGTACGAGTTGCAAGCGTTCAAACCTTGGTTCACTTGCAACAGGGGGACCCAGAGCCTTATGTCTGATTATCTGAAAGGATTCATATAAAGAAAGGCAGGTATTGAGACTGTCCACCAGATTGACACATGATCAGTACCTCAACGATGTCTTGTTCATAGAGATCTCGAGAGTACTGTCTCCTTTCGCTCTCCTCGAGCAGCCCAGTGATACCAGTCCCCCGTGAAGCTTTCACCACATACCCTAATACTGCATAACCTGATTCCTCGAGTCTCACAGCAGCATGCTCCGAGCCACCTTGCTGCTATATGCATTGATAATCAGAGATAACATCAGCAACAAGTTTAATGTGAGAACCAGATGTATGTCTTTCTCAAGAAATACAGTAGAGGCTGAGCTCATGCTAATCTGCACTACTGCCGTGTTATGGGAACACCTCAGTAATTCCAAGACTTTTATAATATTCGAAGTGCCAAGTCAAAAAGATTGTTGATTAGGTTCCAACTAGCGCATCTGTCGCGAACTGCCAATCCTGCATTACCTTTTGCTCGAGAGCTTTTGCCCTTTATCTGATGCCTTCTGGATTAATTAGAAAAACAGGAAGAGTAACGGAGTCTTAAAAATCTTCAAAAATACGCAGGACTCTTGCCATAAGGATGAGAATGTACAGACGGAGAGAGAAGGCCGGACCTTGGTTGGCGGCAAATCAAGATGTTGATCTCATATGACATGCATTTCTAGTCTGGGAGAAAGTGGAAAACAGTGGATGGAAGTGACTGGATGAATGACGCACGTTGAATGAGTAGAGGCGACTGCTGAGCAGCCACGCTCTCGTGTGATTCGAGGAAGAGAGTGGGATGGGAGCAGGGACATCAGGCCTCAAATTGCCATACTCGAATACGCATTCAGGTCCGTTGTTCCGTGGTTCGCATGACTGCGCTCCACACGACCCGCACTGCATTGCGACAGTGCTTCTTTCGCTCCTTGCAGCCTCAAGAGTCTCCGCTCTGACCGGCAAGCCCATCCTCCACTCTGGCCTCGACCGGTTCTCTTAAGCAAAACCCGGAGGCTTCGCCTTTCAGGATTCTACGCTTTGACAGCTTTTTGTCTAAGATCTTTCCGTCACAATGCCAACTTTCGGATTGACCTTTCACGTTTCCAGCTGTCTTCTCTTTCGCCTTCCAGAATGAGTTCCTTCGCTCTGAAGCTCAAATTTCATTCGTTCTCGGAGTCTGCCAATCACCGCAACACAACGCAGGGTTTGAGGAACAATCTTGTTTTATCCTCGCGGGATTTTTACACTCTCGTCAATTCCTCGTTTCGAGGCCCTTCTTCTACCCTCCGACAACGATTGCGCTCAACGTTTTCTTCGTCTCTTACCCACCCACTGCTGTCGCGCATCTTTCCTCCATTCCAGTCTCTCTGATCGCGAAAAGGAACTGGAATCTGGAGCGTTCTAGTGATGTCAAAAGACAAGCCTAGTTTACAGATTAATCACATTAACTAACTCTTCGTTACTGATCATGTCTTACAAGTCTTCCCCTGAAACACACCTTCATCTTAACAGCACTTAAAGTGATACAGCTCCTGTACATTGCCTCCTGATGTATATCTCACCGTCCATTCTTCCATCGTCAGAACTGGGTGGGTACCGTGCTGATCATCCCGACAGCATTTGATTTTTCAAACCTTAACGATTCCCGGCTACTGTGTTCGGCGTATAGTTGACACCCTTGACCTGCAAGCTTCCAACCCTCCGTTGACCGATACAGTGCTACAGAGAATGTATTAGGGGTTCTGAGCGATCGAAGCACCAGACACACCCTACGTTTAACGTATGGAACTACACACATGATCATCTCGCCCAGTCGGCACTTCTTAATAAAGTCCGATCTCGAGGTCTGGTGAGGACATAAAAGATAAGTGAGTTGGGCATAACATTCTTGCTGTCATAACTTCGTTCAGAGAAAAAACTAGTTCTAGTACAATTGTTTTCACAGTGTTCAAGCAACAATTTTGAGACCTTCGTGAACCGGGAAATTTCTCTTGACCTTTCAATATGATAAACTTCACGAAAAGTCCTCAGAGGAAATAATACAATTGAAAGTTTACGCCATGGGGCAGACCTTTCACGAAATTCCCATACAAGGTGGAAGTCCAAAAACATAGAAGAAAAAGGGTGGAAATACCACATCGAGCCGTAGATGTAGAAGACCAAACGGGGTAACATGAAATAAGCCCAAATAGCATCACGATGCTGCTTCCCATTTACTGCTGCATCTAATATGTCCGGACTATCTAGGTCAAACGGTGTGGACACAACAGGGCATCAAAAGAAACATCAGCTACAGTTATCGCTCTCCTATGGATTACACAAAATATTTCTTTATGTAAATAAACTATACAGTAGACTAAGAGAATTATACACCATGGCTCTTCATTTCCTTTCAAGTGAAAAGATGCTCCCTTGAATATGCGATTGACAGTTATCAAATCCAGAAGACTCGATATCTAAAAAGGTGGCGAAGAAAGATGGCTACCTCCTATTAGACACCACACTGAAATTGGCGGCTCTTCTTCTATCAGAGGACTACATCCTACAGATCACCTTGTGGAATCATCAATGTCATAAATCTCGATAGTTTTGTACTTTTGGGAGACCAGTTCTGCCTGGACCTTCCTTGCAGTGTCTGTGGCACATCCCACTAGAATGAGAACTGACGTTCCAGCAAATCCTCGGAACGCAGTTAGATGAGTAACCCCTTCCACGAGAGCAGGGGCCGCTGCCATTAGACCAAGAAAAGCAGAGCCTAACACAGATATTCGTCCAAGTACCTGCGAAGAACACAGTGCGATTTTAATCAGGAAAACGGTTATAGGTTGCAGGGCCACGGAAGGTCCAAAATTACTTGGTTAATTACATGAATAATGGTTGCTCGCTTTAAGATGTATCTAAACTTATCAGGTGATAAGAGAAACCTTGCAGTAATAAGCTGCAGTAAGCACTCACATTCTCAATATACGTTGCAGTAGCTTTCCCAGGTCGAATGGCAGGTACTGAGGCACCTTGTCTCTTGAGCTGATCACTAAGATCGTTAGGATCTAGCTGTAAGAACGTGTAGAAATAGTTGAAGAACCCAATCAACATGACGTTCGTGGGTACGTACCACGAACCTGCAAAACACCGAGAGATACCACCGAGGCTTTTAAGCTACAAGCAAATAGGGATGTAGAGTATACTCGTCCTCTTTCCGAGATAGTACCATGTAAATGGTAGCATCAGAAGGTCTTGGCTGACATACATCACAAGCAAACTTCAGTCTGAGTAACACACAAGAAAACTCAAGACAAGACTGAGCAGATTCATGTGCATCTTACCTCCTGGATAAAGAGCCACTGCAAGGTTTTGCAGGGCTACTAAACCTGTAAACTTTGCCGCTGATGCCGGAAGTTGGAGCAACGAAGTAGAGAAAATAATGGGCATAACACCGGTGCTGTTGACCTGTGGAATCAGTTGGAGAAAACGTTAAAGGATACTCATTGTACTCTATCCGTTAGTATCTGCATGTCAATAGTCTCAAACCTTCAGACCTCGCAGTAGTGCTCCTGCTGATAAAACGAAGAACCCCGCAAGGTTGGAGTAGGAGGAGACAGAGGAGAGTGAAAATTGAGAACGAATAGGATCTCGTTCGTGGGATCTGTACCTGTAGAGAAAGTAGGGTCAAGTTTTCCAGGTCTCAGCCAGGAAGCCCGTCAAGAACTCCACCTTTCTACTTTTAAAGTCCCAGAGAATGTTGCGCGGAAGAACGGCAGATTTGGGTTTTAGATCTAGGCTGAAAAACTTTGATAAAAATTCCACCTCCTCCGGCTGAGTTGTGTTGAGCTCTTACTAGGCCTAGAAACGCGTCTAATTATTGAGCTCATCATGGAAATCTCCAGGCTGAGCTGATCAATATAAAGCTTATCAACTGATGCAGAAAGTCGCGTACAAAGATACCTAAAATAAGAGAAAACGTCTGAAAAAGACTGAAGCTAAGGATTTTCCGAGCGGACCTTGAATGGTAGGTATGCCGCTTTGCGAAGGCCTCGAGCACTGTATCTGGACGCATAGTTGATAGGTATCTTCCTTTCAGCTTCCTGTTTGTGGACAATTTCTTAGATTATCATACAGAAAACGTCGTTAACTACAAAAAACTTACTCAGAAAAAGACTTTTAAACAAACATAATCCAACGCTCAAAGAACATACCTGCACGTAGACAATGCCCAAAACCAACAACAGGAAACCGGCAACGATTCCACCAAGTCCGGCATAGTTCTGTTCGCTCAGGCCTTGGGCTACTGTTCTTCCTATCGATGCCGGCAGATAGGACACAATATTTGTAAAAATTAATAGCGAAGTCCCATTCCCCAATTTGTAATCGGATATTTTTTCACCAATGTACATTGTTCCCACTGCTCCAAGCACTAACGCTGCGACAGATCCTATGGCCCACTCCACACTGAATTCAGTAGCGTACGGCCGTATCAAAGAAACCTGCCCTATCGCCTGAAAACAGTCGATTCACATCTATCAACGATTGCTTTCGAAACTGCATCAACAGAATATTTCATCGTGTACAGCAGCTTGAACCTCTGTGTACCCGTATTGGAGTACGAAGATAAACATACAATTAGAGAACAAAGATGATAATTCAACTAACAACTGACTAAGGATGGCCTTCAAATTTCTACACGATATCGTTACAGTCTTAGATGCTTAGATGCATGTTTGTAAACTTTAACTTTCGAGTTCGCATTTCTCTTACATGTCCTTCCATTCATAAAGTATAATCCCGAAACACAGACGACATGTTGTGCATTTATTCTGCATCATGCTCCAAAATTTTCAAGACCTGAGACTGAATGATCACCTGTACGATGGCGAAACCCACGGACGCATATCTTGTGTACTGTTTGACCTTTTCGCGCCCTGCTGCTCCTTCCTTCTTTTGCAACTCTTGGAGTTTAGGGAACACAGTCCCCAATAACTGGAACACAATTTGTGCATTGATAAAGGGTACAATCCCCAAGGACGAAACTCCCAGCCTTCCAATTCCACCTCCAGAAAAAGAATCAAGAGTGCCTAAAATGCTGTTGGTATCCAAGCTTCCGGCAAAGGCTTCTCTATTGACGCCAGCCAGTGGGATGTACGTCCCAATACGAGACAACACCAGCAATCCAAGAACTTTGAGAAACTTTTCTGGAAGATTGCCTTTGAAGAAATCGCCAAAATCTATGGAGCTATCTTCAATTGCAGCTGGTACAAAAACAAGCAGAAGAAATTCTGTAAGCAGGTGATTACATGAGTGACGGCACTAAGGACTATACTACCCCTCATGAACTACAATATTAAGTAAATCCTCCCATTATACATACATTTTGACTGTGCACCTGTGAGAACGAAAGTTTAAACAAACCTACATTTTGTTTCACTTAAAGCGTGCACGCAATCTCAGTATTGACATAATTTCAAACGGCCAATGGAAGTGACGGTAGGATGATCTAACCAAAATAAAGGAAATAGACTCCATAAGTAAGAATGTACCAGCAACTCCTCTCCCTGAGCTGCCTGCTTTTGAGCCAGGCCTCCCTCCTGATGAAGTCATTACCGTCGAGGCAAGCGATTCCCATTGAGTTTGAAACGCTGACACAGCTGATTCCCCAAGCTCAAGCGGGTCAAATTCCCAATCATTTGGCTGCTCCACCTGGCTGCAGAGAACCAAAATGATGAATATGCGCCACTAGGCCCCGCTAAGCCAAATGGTTGACGTGATAAAGGAACGTTTCCAGCGTCTCCACAAAAAATCTCAACAATTAGTCTTTACAACCGTGTGGCGTAAGTTCGAAACCATAATTCATGAATGAGCATTGTAGAATTCAGTTTCTCCTAGTCGTCCAGTGTCCTTATATGCATATAATACTCGCGAAATTGAGGAATTTGAGCAAAACATTTTGCTCAAAAATGCTCAATCTTTGAAAGTCAAGAGCAAACACTTCAAATCCTCTCGCCTCATGGAACCTGCAATTTCACATTCGTGCCTCTGGATTTTTTCCGCGACGGTAACCGACAATTGGACCCGAGACATAGTCTGCCAAGCAACGGAAAGATAAATCTCACACAAGCTCGAAAGGCAGTAACAACCTGGGCCACAATCCTCGCCCTGAGAAGATGCCTTTTCTCTGCCCGGGACTCGTTAGAGCGCACCTCGCTCCGACCGCACGCCCATCTTTCAACCCCAGTGAAGAAGAAAATCCAACTCTTCCCGAAAATTTAAATTTCACCAAAGCATCCCCAGAAGCCAATCTGGAAACTCTGGAGCATCTGCCCAATGTCGACGCCTGTGCCATCACGAGGCTCGGCGTCGACGCCATGGCCAATTTTCGCCCTGTTCTTTTTGTTGAATTCGGAAGTGACGATGCGCGGTGAGTATGGCGCCCAAGACAAGAACAGCCTCAGCGGCAATATCGTCCTCGACGGAAGATAGCGAATTCAAGTGAAGATGGCAGTGCATGCCTTGCACATCGTCAGCTCATTTGACACGGATAGGATAGGCCTCGCACGACTGACGTGGTCCATCTTTCCTTGCAGTTCAGCTCGACTTTCTTCTTTGGTCTTGCAATGTAACGTAGTGATGTCAAACTTTCTCCCGACTGCATGGAGAGAAACCTGATGTCATGTTTGTCTCCATTCACATTCCTTTTCCTCATATCTATTTACTCAACAAGAAAAATCATTCACATTACTCTCTAAACAACCTAATAAAACGTACAGTTTCGGAAGCTCCCGGAGGGCTAAAAGGATGAGAAGATTCATACATTTTTCTTATATTTCCTTAATTTATTCTTCTCATATTTACTTAATGTTACTATGTATCAAATTGACTACCTTGAATTTTCTGATTAAATTCTCAATGAATGATGTAAATGTATGAATATATATGTTCAGATATAAACTCTCATTTTTTCGGCTATATTCATGAATATTTGACTTTAAATTTCAAATAATGATTATATTTCATACTTGAAAGTTTGATGGCAAGTTTGTAATATATATTAATAAATCTACTTCATGTACATAACAAATTTAATCAATGGTGTAAACATCTAACAAATCAAGATACATAGAATAATTTGCTAGACCGTTTGTTACCTTAAAGAAAACACAAGCAGCTTAATTAATTATTATTATTTAACATATAAATTTGATCAATTCACAATAACTTTACAATGAAAAATCATCATTTTCAAACTAAGATTAATGAAAATTGTTGTCTTTGTACAATCCAAAAATATAAATATATTAGAAAAATATAATTTTCAATAAATAGAATTTTGAAATTAAACTTTAACTATTTCAACTTATGACATAAATTTATATATTTCTAGATGCAAATATTTTTTTAGAAAAATGTATTTTAAAAATCAATCAAGCAAAAATTTACAAAAAAAATTCTAATAAATTCTTATAATTTATTTACGTAATTGTATAGATAAAAAAGTCATCTCTTTGTTACTTCACTAAACCAAAATATTGGCACATATTTAGTTCATAAAAAATTCACATATTTTAAATTTTGTTAGTAGATATCAAACAACTATTCAGACATAGCAAAAATTTGCTAGTTCAATTGTCAAATGATTTATAGTATGGTATGATATTTTTCACTATATTTAAACTATTGAATATAAATATTAAATCTATATTTGTACATCAAATATTTATCTATTGTCATTTGAAAATTTGTGTACTTTTTTTTAACAGTGATGAATTTTTGGTAGTGTTTGTTGAAAATATTTTTTCAAATGATTGTTCTAACATTTTAGATATCTACAAAAATTAATAACACTCAAAAAATTGCAGCATTCACTTCAGCAAAATCTTTAAAAATTATATGTGCATGATTGGTTGTCTTACATTTGAGTTATACGTATTGATTAAGTTAACTTGATGAATGGATATTTTTTTACTTTGCAAATGTTTTGTTTCTAAGTATTGAAAATGTTCATGTACTGAAACGAATGAAACATGAAACTTGAATCACTTAGGAATAAAACACGGTTGAATCAAAATATTTGAATTACTTATTAAAAGATAAAAGTTATTCAAAAAATATTTTTTTCTGATACTTATAAAAAAAATTTCAAGTAGGGATGTCATGTACAACATCAAACTCCTCATCAAGACAAAAAATGGTTATCTTTTTTATAATTAATGATTAGGTTTTATCTCTTTTATTTAGAAGTCAAAGTATTTTGAGGAAAGATATTCTAAATTTGATTTATATATTAATTAATGATTTTAGTAATTTTGTGACGAGATTTAAATTTTTTTTCACATAACTGCTGCTGGAAAGAAGAAGAAGAAGAAAAAAGACTTGAAATATCATTGTAATTACGAGATAAAATGTACTCACCATGCTTACTACGTTTCAACCTGAAGAGTTGATACGACATCCTCAAGTTCAGTATTTAAGGTTGATAAATTTGTGTGTTGATCCTTGATAGGCACTAGATCATCGATAATATTTTTAATGTGATAAAACGTCATTCAAAACAATAATTAATGAGTTGAAAACCAATCACTGTTATTTCGTTCACTTGTTCATAACTAGCAACTAAATTTGGCTTATTGGCTGTTATCATCTACTTACACAACATTACGTTCGGCCCACCGTGGACACATTTTTTATTTGGGCAGTAACAATCAGCTACTACATTTGGCTTATTTAATGTAATCATCTACTTACACAACACCACGTTCAACCCGCAGCTAACTTATTTTCATGTCGGCATTGGGTTTGTCCACATTCGGTTGAAGTAAGGAAACTTGTCGATCTTGGAGTCCTTTACAGCTTGAGCTGCAGCATCCACTCAGACTTCACTTGCTGTAGAGTCTTGCATCCCGAAGAACATGCATTGCCCAATCATGTCTTAGGATTTACTGGTGATTCAACCCTTGAACCGTGGTTCAATATACAAGCATTTTCCAACCCCCTGGTTAAATTCCTTCCCGGCTTGCATTTTGATCCTTGCCTGGCTCTAGGCAACCCTGTCCTTTTGACAACGCTGTCATCCTACCACTTTGCATCACCCCAGGTGAATCTCTTTATCGCAGCTTTCACCGCCACGTGTAGACTCCCAAGTCCAGTCTATATTTCCTGACTGAAGAATGGCCGGAAGGACCAGACGTTGTATTTGCCTAACCCACTCGTCGTATCAGGCTTTCGATCTTTGAAGAAACCGGAAAGACTTCCAAACTCCGAAGGTACTCTACGCAACTACCGAGGAATCTGCTACCCTGAAGTTTTCTAAATTCAAAAATTGAAAGCGCTGGCTCCTCGTTAGATAAAAAGTATCGATCTTTCTCAACGGGTTCCAAGGGAGCGGCTTCAATATCATCGAGGCCGTTCCCGTCGCGTCTTGAATCAATATTCCCGCTACCCGGTCGCCCTTGGTTGCATCCTGCTTAGATTCATTTGGCTCCGAGTCAAGTCGATTCGTCACTCGAGAGAACTCTCCTTCCCACCAGTTTGGGTGGGCCTCTTCACTTACGAGAAGAAGAAACACATGCAGTCTTGCTCCTCAAAGCTCGTTGACGATACGGAGAGGGTCGGTAATTTCCGGAACACCAATACCTAGATAGGAAGCTTTTTCCTTCTCCTCCCACCCAGGTGCTAACCAGCATCTTCCGGAATCATTGCTTCTCCTAAATGACCACGACCAGCAGAAAGAGGCTCCTCCTTCCAAATTTGTTGTTTTAACCATGAACGCGAGAATCTCTAGCTCCAAGTCCACACGTCGCCGATCCCCTCGGGTCTGCGTGACGTGCTTCACCGTAGGCACTGATGCTTCAACCGATGATGCTTCTTCGTCCCGCGCTGACGGTGGCTCTGGCCTGTTCCTGATGCTGGCAAGCCCATTGCCACAACGTCCAGTTCTCTCGGTCGGATGTTTGGCCAGGCCAAACATCCAAAACTCAGATGGCTTGCTTGGCCACGTCTCGTGCGCTCGCCCTTCCTTTGCCATAGTCGGCGCTGACTTCTCTCCTCTCACATGCTTATGGTCCTGTAGGCCATACTAACTCTCTTTCGAGTTCATCTGCGTGTAGCAACAAAACGCTGTATTCCAAATGTAAGCCACGAGCAAACAGAATCATCCCTGCCTTCTGTTTCCATTATGGAAGGAGCAAAGTCCTGTCTGCCCCAAAAGATCCCTATCAAAGACAAACAAGTTTTTTGTTTCAGTTATAAACTTTCATCAACCAAATGACCTGGAAATTGTGCTTGAAACCATGAGTCATGTTCCATAAACGTGAGCCGTCTCTACCTTCCTTCGGCTGTCAAGTTTGTTCAAAGTTCAACTTGGACAGCGAATTGCTTCTGAATCACAGGTAGTGAAATGAGTCGTCCAGGATATTGCTGTTTCATCAATTATCACCATCCTGGCCACATTACCTCCTGTATCCGAATACAGGAGGAAAATATTTCGTCAGAAAGTCGCGGTTCTTGCCCTGAGACTGAGTTTGTGACGCCCAAATATCAGGGGATCCGAAACCAGGTCCAGACTCCTGATCAGGGTATCAAACCAGTTGAAGTGCAGGTAACACTGATCGCACATGCCTGGCCTGCCATTCCGCTGTCCCAAGACGTCCTTGGCCTGAATCGAAAACAAGCAAATGGACTTTGGCCAATTGGAATGTTTCCCTGGCAGGTCGACAACCAAGCCATCTGCAGCAATAAACGGCATCAAACCAGTCTAACCCACATTACGCACTATCAGTTGATCATTGTATACTATAGACAATATGGTTGCGTTTATGAGAAAGATCTCAAGAATAAGCGGTAAAATTGCATTCTCGAACCACCAATGTGGTGGAGTGATGAGCCTGACATTCCAGTCATACACTCAAGAGACTTTAGCTTTATGTTCATCCTTGGAGGGCATAGTTCTGTCCAAACCAACGTGGTCTGAGACGATGTGAGGCAACCTGCTACTTGAAATTGCTTGTGTTGCTCGGTCAGAATATAGTTGTTGCAGCCAGGGTGTCTTTTTCAATGCTCCGGCATGTCTGTCCGTTTTGTGGCCCAAGCATCTTTGCTTAATAACGCAGTTTCTAATTAACCGTCGTCGTCGTCGTCGACATTTCTAATTAATGTCGTCGACTTCAAAGTACGAAGAATGCACAATCGAGTGAGTGAGTCATTCGAGCGGGTTGTAGCATTTTTTGCAATCAAGGACACAGTAAATCGTGCCCAGCAGGAAGGCAAATTTAATTTCGTCATCATCTCTGGCTAACTCATGATTTTTGTAAAACAATACAACTTATAATCGGGCTGTTGGCCTTCTTGGCTCTGAAAAGACCTATATGATTATACTATTCTATAATTCACATGTAGGCTATATGTGAATTGTAGAATAGTAGAACTTCTATCAAATTTTTAGTAGGCAAGCCAAATATTGACCATCCAATCGACTTTCTTACTGGTGCTATGTCATGGCTTATCTGTTCTTGCGTACTTGCTACGGATACTCGTTGCTATCGGATTTCTTTTTCATTGAGATAGGAAGTTGTATCATTCGTGATCTACAATTTTTAAGTGTTTCATGTCGTAACCAGTGATGAAGACGTCCTACCAGTGGAATAGAATTGGATCTTTCAGTTATTCAATTGAAATCTCGCATTTGATGGAAGGTATCCACTGTACAAGTTTCCCCTCAAAAAGAGTACACAAGTACAACATCCAAGGATTTTTTGAATTTCCTAAATGAAACGATCGAAGAGTTTTAGCAGTTAACTGGAGTTGGCAATCGAAAAAAAGGAAATTGTGTACACGACTTACTTTAGTTCTGAATGTGACGTGAAACGATGACGAAGTAGTTAGTACAATCCACCTCAAATCTATCAACAGTTCTATCACAGCGGACAAGATAGAAGAAGAATGTTTTTTTTTCTTTTCCGTATCTATTAAAAACTATAAAAAAAAGGCGGTTTGAAAATATCTCACTAAATCATATTTTAGAATTTAAGAAATTTATTCAAATATAAATTATGAATGATATGAGACTATCGAATGAAATTAAAGGAAGAAAAATGTATGAACATATTATACACTATATTTTTAGAAATACTAAAAATATGCTGTTAATTTTTGTAAAATTCGAGAGAATCTGTAAGTCATAATTATCAAACAATATACTTGCAAATTGTGTTAACCTTAATGATTTTAAAGATTGAAACATCAAGATTTTATAACATCTGATTAAAAAATTATCTGAACGGAAAATTAACCATTTTAAAATACACACATAATTCCACATATATTCCTTCATTTGATGGTTTTTTATTTTTTTATTTTTTTTAACTAAGAGCAATTGAATTTTCAGATTACAACATGAACAAACAAGTATTTATGCAATCAAATTTTTATGATGATGATGTAAATAATCATTTAAAGAATCTGAAAAGAAACATAGGAATATTTTAGGAATGCAAATTATTCATTTTTTGTTAAAAAATGTCAAATTTTATTATATTACTCATAAATATAATAAAATCAAATATCTTGTTTCAAATGTAAACACATTTTTTTGACCAATAATTTGCATCTTTGAAGAATCAATTGATATAATAAATAAATTTAATAAATTATAATTAAACATATGGCATGAACTTTGAACTATCCAGACATCGTGTAGATCTTTGAACTTGAGAATATCAAAAGTTCTTTTTCTAATAACACAGATTTTACTATAAATCGTAGTTGAAGAGTATTTTGACATGTTAATAACAAACAAGAACAATAGGTAAATTGATTATCTCTCAATCGAAGCCAATACACTCCGTGAAAAATAAAACCTTTTAGTATTATATATTTTGTACTATGCTTCCCCTTGCCTAAACTAATCATTACTGATGGGACTAAATCAAGTTAATTTATGTAATCAAGCTACTGCCTAATATAATTATGCCTAATTCTATGGAACATCTAGTTATTACTCACTTGATGCTAATTACTCCTCATTCTACAAAAATTATACAGCTGGATGTGTTGCGCTGACTAGTAACTTCATGACCAACGGGTTTGTTCAAGTGGGAACACAAAAGATTGAGTCCCTTGATAGTTCTATCTTCCTTGTTATGATCTTTGCGTTTTCGTTTCATAACGACAACGTAGTCGTTACTCAACGCGTAAGCTTGCACTGCCTATAGCTCAGTGTCCAGAGACCTCTCTCGTTGAAGCGAGCGTATTCATTTTGAAATAAAATCTCTCAAACCAATCACGGACCTCACTTCTTAAGCAATTTATAGAATTTTTGTAATATGAAGAATAATTAGCATAAATTAAGTGATAACTAGTTCTTCTTTAATAATATATATTTCATTATCATACTCGTGCATATATATATATATATATATATATAACACATATCTTGAATTAAAATTCTTAAAACTAAGTTTGTTTATATAATATGACATATCATATACAAATTGTTTTTAGCTTTACGGGAAATATGAAATCCAACAATATGAATGATGAAATTAAAAAAATGCAGAAATTTTAATTCTAACTTACTAGAATACTGCTATATTATATTTTTGGTTCAAAATATAATATTTGAACCAAAAATTTATTTGATTAGAAGAAAACATTGCAAAAAAGTTTATGAAAAATATTTCATAATAACAAGTCTACATCAATGTATATAAAACGGGATTGATGATTTTTTTTTGGTGGAGCATGTGAAGATGTGATAGTCTATAATTTACAACATTTATTCAAAATTAATATGTGTATTATGTAATTCATACTAGCATTAAAATTATTACATACATAATATGTAAATCAGTACTATGTAAATGTTGACTTGCAAATTTTTAAACCTCTTATCACAAACTTATTCAACTTCTTACTTACATTCAATAAGTTTGATTTATGATAGAGAATATTATTTTGATTAGTAAACATAATGATGAATGAATGACTTTATATATATATATATATATATATTGTTATTTTTTCATTTGACGAACGTCATGGTGCTATGATTATGGAGTGAAACTCACTTTTAAATCCGGAACATCTAGGATATCAAGTTGAGCCTTTACGCTATCTCCGGTAGACTAATCATATAATCTTCTATACTTGTCTCAATCTTCTGATGTTATGAACTAGTAGTAGGCTTCTCACCGTTTATATAGGTAGTTGAGTCCTCCTTAAAACTCTAATGTACAGTACTCTGGTGCAGAGAGGTTGAAGAAGGTGAGATAATAGCAATTTTTGAATGGCATGTGTGTGACACCATGCCTGTCATCCAGCGGTTTGCCTGATATTCAACAGCGGAGATCGATACTTATGGAAAGTGTCCTTGAGGTCAAGTCAGTATACCGACAACTCTACCGTTTCTTTCCACCGTCACAGGAAGGCAAACAGTCATCGGGAAGATTCTCTTACGTCTATCAGCCCTATCTATTACATTGTTTATTGTATCCTCCTATTTGAACTCCTTTGCCTCCAGCCATGGAATCTCCTCTAAACCTGGAACTTCTACTTAGAATGGTATGTGTTTTTATGCATAGTCTATTTTAAGTGATATCTATACATTTTTCTTGTTACACCACAAGTTGTTCTATATCAATCACTTAGTGTCATTGATATTCAGTCTCATTAAGTTATGCTTTGCTGGATACTCCTGTTGTGCAAAACGTCTGAAATAGATAGCGGGGATAGATATCTTCAGTGTATGATGATCTATTGCCCAAGTGATAATATTGGACTAGCCCCGCCTTACCCTTTTGGTTTCATGCTTTGCCGAGTGGATGGGTTCTCCGATGCTGGCTGTTATTTTAATGTGTACATTTACTTTCCAAATGTTTTATCTCATCTTCCTTTTCTTTTGTCTCTTTTGGGTCCCTCTTCTTAGACTCTGGAAGGCCTAAGTCCAAATGTGCAACTCTTATTGGCTTCACCTTCTTCACATCTGCCAAGGGACCGTTTGATCTTGGAAACACACAGAAGGTAAATAAAAACTGTACCTCATCTAAGATTTTGCCCAACGGCCGTGTAGAAATCATTTACTGAAGGGCAGGGCGTTCTTATCCTGACAAATCAAATTCAGCACATTGCGAGCCGAGGAGATTTCTAATTCGTTCTTTTCATGGTTTTCACAATGATGGAGGTTCCCATGGGCCCACATTCGAGATCTTGTTTTTCCAGTTGCGCTCACTATCAACCAACACACTTTTGGACTCCACACGCCGCGGGCCCTGCCCGCAGGATCGTAGAAGGTCCTCATCATCCATATGCGATGAGATAGTGTGTTCAATGCATGTCCTGTCATCGCTGACAGGTTGCGTCCCGAGGCAAGCAGCTGATGGAACAATCGCATTAGTTTAACTGCTGATGTTTCTCTGACCCGGGGTTTTGGACTCCTGTTGTTCCCGGGGACGACTCTTTTACTGGAGAGAGCGGTTGGGCCGTCTAGTCCCAGTCTAGCGAACAGTGCGGGAGCTTTCAATCATGACCAGAATACTGCAGTATCTTGTTCCTCCTCCTTCTCGTGGCTGCCATGTGATGGAAGGAAAGCCCTTGTATGACGGATAAGCTGGGGAGGACTGGGTGCATTTGATGCACAACTAGAGCCACATTCACTATCGTCCCTGCTCTGTCTGCCTCTGTTCCTCTCCTGCTCACGGTCCTCCGTCTAAGATCTCTACAGCTCGTTGACTCGATCCTTTCATGCCTGCCAGAGGGGAAGCACAACACTCCGAGCTTTAAGAGCTGGTTATTGTGTACTGAACACATCCGACCAGTCTCTCGTTCCGATTGGGAGAAACCCAGAGACATTGCCCTCTAGATCATGAACGTTTGAGGGAGGGTTTTCATCTCCAGGCAGGAAGCTTGAGAAGGCGGTGATCCTCGAGGGTCCTGCCGCGGTCGTCACCTCTGATTTGCTCGAGCGGAGGTAGAAGGAAGGAAGGAACAGCGAGATCCCTCCTCGCAGATCTGTCAGTCCAATAACGCGTTCCCAGGACTCGCATGATAGTGAACGTTGTGATCACAGCGGAAGTGGTAGTACGGTTTTGTGTTTCGTAGGTCAGGCTGCCTGTGCAGGAGACATAGCCGTTGCCGAGTGACAGCGCAGCAGGTCACTCCAGTTCTTCATCGTTCTTCGTTGTTTGGTTTGGCGTTGATATCGACCCATAGGCCGCTTTGGGTTGTCACTGTCGGCACAGCGTTCAGCGTTGCAGGGACCGCGACTCTGCGCCGCTCGCGTCCGGAGTCAGTGACCTTCTCTTTTCTTGTGTGTTTGTGCGTGAGGACTTGCATGAATCCGACGACAATACTTGTCCCGTGGCCCTCGGTTAAGGACAAATTCAATGTCAATTGACTCCAGAGTCTGCTCATTGCACGGTGATTGCCGGCCGAAATAAGCGTGCGTCCGTTCGTTCGTTATGTACGTGCATTGTGTACTCGTGTGCTAAGAACGTCGGGCCTCCGGTTGATTTTATCGAAGATGTGGAATTGTTTGCCTCTTTTCTCCTCCGCTGATGCGGAAGACTATTACAAGACGGCGACTGCTGTGCGCAAGAAGGATGACGATGCCGCGGCGACCGAGGTCTTTGTGGCTGAAGCATGCGAGCAGGTGACATCCGTGTCAAAAATCATTCGGTTGCAATACACTGGAGTGACATTGTGGTTCAACTACCTTGTTGATTACCTCGGGCAGGCTCTGGTGGCGTATTTCCACAGGGTGATCGAGAAGGTGGAGAAGCTTGAATACTACGATTGATGGATCAGGTCAGATCAGATATGGCTTCATTCGTGCATCTTCTAGGGCCTGCAGAACGCCACGAAAAGCATGTTTAGTACCATCAATACCATGGCATATCCATCGAACTATTGTTGAATCCTGCTCCAAAACGTCAAATTTTGCTGTAAAGGTCATTTGCTTCACCCCTGAACGTTACTAGATGTATTACCATCAAGAATCCAAAATCCATCGACCTCTTTGAAGGATCGAGAGGATTAGATATTGAGTTTGACTTGGAAGAAGCCCGGTATGTAGAAATGAGAGTTAGTATTTTTTTGTATAGCATGTAAAAAGCTCGTTTCTCTCACAAAATTTTTGTCCGTCATCAACAGCCTCCATGCGTTGTGTTCTGAGTCTCATGGACGTGTTGTTAGAATATAGCGTAGTGTAGAACGGACGAGAAGGATGTACAGAAGTTGAATGCAAGTCCTAACAGCAACGAAGCGGCCACTGACCTACGGTACTTAAGTTCCGCATGTCCAGTCCAGAGCTCTTCTACATATCTGTCGCGTTGGTCTACTTATGTACTCTACAATCAAATAAAAGTGTGAGCTTTATCATTAGCAGATGCAGTTGTCACGAGAGCAGGTAAAGTCCGAAAAGAATTAGACGTAAGCGAGACCCGAGTCGAGTTTAGAAAGAAATTTTGTGAAGATAGTGGTCAGCGCTGGTCAACCTCACGTCAACGCCTTCGTCGATCGTTGAATTTCCGATGTGTCTGTGCTTTCATGCGGTAATCCCTGCTCAGCAGCCACGGCACCCGTTGTTTCCAAGCCTGGAAACTTTACGTTCCAAGAGAAAGCTGTAGTCACTCTAAGCCTCGATTCTTGTTTCAAAACCACCACTGCAACTACTCACCCCATCGGGGGACTGACGCAGAACTCTACACTCGTTGCGAATGCTTCACCAGTCTGCCCGATGGTGTGAGTAGTTGGAATAGTGTTTGGTATGCAGGAAATTCCCACATGAATTGAGCTACACAACACTCCTCACAATAAATATTCTTCCACAGCAGAGTTTCAGTGTAAGGTATGATCAAAGGACTTCCTCTAAACGAATCCACTACACCTTTGTAGACATAAATGCATAACTGTTTATTTGAAATGAGATCATGTAGCCCTCAACTGTTCTCTTGCTGTTAACTGCTTGCTCCACAAGGAGAATTGCCAAGCCAATCTAGCAGTTTTGTCGTGTATCAAATTCAAGCTTGCGGCCAGAAGAAAAAGTGCCCATGCCCAAAGAAGTTCTTCCCAGGAAGTGTGATTTAATGTCGTTATGTCTTTACTCTGAGTTCATATAACCCTTTGGTTTATAGAAGGTTACAACGAGAGTTAATAGTGATACACTTAAAGGGAAAGAAATCGGAACTACAGAGTATACAGTTTTAGATTCCCCCGGCTTTTGTGCCGGGTTTCATCTGGCCATTATGTGCAATGGCGTTTTTTGACTCCAGCATCCCCTTTTTCTGTTTAAGTATGTTTCTTTCAATAATCATTGAAGACCATGTGGACTCCAAGTACTATCGAACGATGAAAAGAAATGCTCTATCCAAAACTTGCCAAAATGCATCGCATCTACAGTGCATTCTTCACAGTGGCCTGAATGAGGGCTCAATGCGGGTTTAGCCTAGCAGCTAGGCCGCTACTCGTAGTGCATCAGGTGTCTCTTGGCTTCCCACCGGATGGATGGACAGTCGAAGTGAGGTTCAGATTGCGGATCCTCTGCAGGCAGAGGAGCATGTGGCCCGATGCTGGCTGTCGTGCTGTCAGATCGATTATGGGTCACGTTTCGAGGCGTGTCAGATTCCAATGGATCACAGGAATGTCCTTGTGGGTCGTATGTACAGTTGGCCTGAGTTTCCCCGTTAATTTCATAGTCTAGGCCAACCTTGGATGTCAGGTGTGTCCCGATGTAATTTTTGTAACTTAAACTTTATGGAATTGTTATGACTTGACAATTGTCTTTGTTAGATGTTAGATGATAAATCAGCATATCCGTAGATTGTCAGCATAAAAGAAAAAGTATTTATGTGTTTTTTAACAAATAGATCACCAAAGTGCAAGCCGAATCTATTGCGATAGTTCTCACAGTTTCAGCATTGCTACCGTAATTACAATCTGAGTGTTTGACTCTTTGTCTCAGCCCTTGATCATCAAACACTTTTACTGAATTCGCTTTGGTTGATCCTATCGGAAGTACCCAAAAGCTCCGCGGAGCTATGCTTTTGGCTCCAAAGGAGACTCTTTAGCTTGTCGAAAGAAGGGACGTAGACTTCCGAAGACGGTATACTCACGCGATTCGCGCCTTTTGCCATATGGTCTGCAGCCTATAGCCTTTGCGTTATATTGGCCAATAAGGCGCTGGGGCCTCTGTCTCTTTCCGTGAAACTTTTCCAAAGGTTTAACACCTCAACTGATCAACACATAATCAAATGATAAAAGGATCAATGATAAATTTCATGCCAAATACAACTTCCAATTTGAACAAATCTTGTCATCGACATGAAATAAAACTGATTTAAATTCAATCATTGACTGGTCATGTTTTGAGAAGCTTCGGTTTTGGGTGTCATACTCAGATTGGAGCCTTGATTCGATGAGCATTTTCATCGTACAATAAACACTTTTATTTAGTGATATATAGATTATTTTAATATTTTCATAATATGTTTTTTATATTTTAAACTTAAACTAATTATATATTCGTTATCGAGATTTCAACAGGATGAGAGTTGAACTTTTTTCCATTCAATTTATTCTATTAATAATTTTTCATTTAATATAGAAGATAATCATGCCAAACTTATATTTCATATTGTAGAGATATATAATAGCTTCAAATTTGTACCTCTTTTATGTCTAAGTTTTAAATGAATTGAAATTTTAAATACTTTGAGTGAATATGGAAGAGATAATATACATATTCAAGACGACTTTCTATCGAAATTTTTGACAACATAAACGTATGAGATGTGTTTTAAGGAACAAAAATCAAATATTTAAAGATAAAATAACTCTTGAACACCAAGTTGTAATTATGCATGTAGAATCTCTAAAATACATTTTGAAGATTGGAAGTCAAAAGATACTTTACTTATCATATGATTGAATCAAGTGATATGAGATCCTTTTTTATACTTTTGTTGAAGATTTTGATCGACAATTGAATGCTGATATTGAAAGGTTTCAAAGTTTGTACATTTAAATATATAATAAACTAAAGATGGATGATTGATATTTACAAGACTTTTATTCATCAACAATTTACTCTCATGATAATATTTGTAAATAAAATAAAATAGTAATCTTTTAAAGGAAAAAATTAATGCCTAAACTTATTCAATTTTTGTTGTGGTTATAATTTTAACAATAGTTCTAAATTATTAAAAAAAATAAAAAATAAAAAATAAAAAATATTTATTAATCATACTATTGAAAATTTAAAAGAAAATTATCCAATTTTTTCTTGTTAAAAAAATTATCTTGTGTTGAAAATATGTACTAATTATGTTTTCAATTATTATATGAAATTCTTTACAACTATAAAATATAAATTGTACTTTTCACATACAAGATTCTGAAATATTTCAGATCTCAAAATAAAAACCATACATATCATACCATGAATACCTAGAATAATAGATATAAATTTCAATTGAAATTTTGTGTGTTCATTTTTATATGAAGAGTGTTTGAATTCTCTTATGTTTGAGCAAATCATACGCTATGTCAAAAAGTCAATTTTTACACATGATAAACGCTTTACTTCGATGCATTGTCAAATTTTACGCAGATCATAAAAGAAATAAATTTTAAATTTATAATAAAAAATTTTAATTAAATCCTTGGTTGCATTGATTATTTTTATTTATTTAAATTGAAAAATAATTTACGAATTTTCATAATTAAAATTGATATTATTATATGAAATATATAAGTAATATCAATATTTATATTCATAATCACAGTAACTTTTTAATGCTTAATACTTTATTGTCATTTTATTTTCAATTATTTTCAATTATCTTGTAGCTTTCAAATAAAAATTGAACTCAATTAGAAAATTTCAAATTATATCTTTCAACATTAATCATATGAAATAAATTGAAATATCAAATTAAAATGAATATGTTACTTTGAAATCTATCATGTTATAAATCCATTTTAATCTATTAAATTTACAATTACAAAATATTATATCAAGTCATTCAATTATGTAATTATATACATAGGTTATTTTATTTTCATCTCCTTGTTCAAATTGTTGGTTAATTTGCTTACATGCTTGTATCCCAACTACATTTCTTGTTTGATGAGAATATTGCTCCTTTCAGTTTTTTTCAGAAGGGTTTATCAAGTATAACGATACTTTGAAATGACAATCTAAATCGAACTATGTCTCAAAGAATGCACATAAAATGGTAAATATTTGTAATTAAATCAAGTTATGTGATCCGGATAATTGTATTTAATATATTAGATCAATGTTTAAAGATTTGTTCTTCATGTTATGAACTAAGTTAGCTACGATGAACCTGAAATATCAAAATAAAAAATGAATTTTCCTAGTAGCGTATAAATCCTTATAAAATGAGAAGGTTTCCACGATGTAAAGTTTTTTCTTAACGCGGAGTTTACAATATTAGGAAATTTACCTTCTTAATTTTAATGCAGATAACATACATCTGATTTTGTAAGTGATCACTATCAATATCGTATCTATCTGAAAATACGCTCACCTTCGAGCAGTCCCTAACTCTTGAAATTACGATCATAAGCGGGTCACTACTCGTATCCCTTTGGTCAAAACAGAAAAAAAAAAAAAAAAAAAAAACCCCCAATATATAACAACCTTACAAATTTTTTTTCACTCGTCGGCATTCCGATGTTACTCATATAATAATTTAGAATATGTTGCTTGAAGAGGGGCTACAGCTTTGACATAAAACGTAGTATGGCATGAGACAAAATTCACACTTGTGTCTATTTCAGATTTCAAAATTATAGCAGAAGATAGTAAAATTTATTTCAAAAGAGTTGTAGCATTCGACAACGAACTATATGTACTTCTTGTTTGTGAGATTGTTTGGTATCTTGCATTATAATTATGATTGGATGCATGAAATTTCAGAGAAGCCTTAGGAGACGTGACCTACTGTACTTATCTCTAATTTTTTTGTGACAAACTTGAAAGCTGTTGAAATATAAATAACTGTCATCATTAAAATGCATGAAACATAACAGCAATACTAGTAGACATAACTTTATAATGTGATAGACGAAATCCTCTATGTCCGTTGCCAATCTGCTTGAAGATCGGTGTGTTTTGTGGACATTTACCTATAAATGTTTTGAAGATTTAGGTCATAACATGTTTATCCCATGTGCTTCCTTTTCTTCGCCATGAAGATATAAGAATAACTGATCTTATTTTCCCGGGTGCAAACTTGCCAGTTTCCACCGGAGCAAAGTATGTGAGTTGGAAAAAACATGCCATTCCCCGGTTGTTAGGAACATAGCTTCAAAACTCTATTGAAAAAATTTCGATAATTGCAGGCTAGAAATATGACTCTTAGCATCCGACAATTGGTCAAGGTCTCCAGATGATGGGAGCAATACAACATGAAACTGATTGAGAGTCTCAAAGTCATATCCTGGACAGGCCAGGAACTGATGTAAAGATATTGCCAGGAGGGAGCAGATATTTCCTGAATTCTTCCAACAGTTTCCAGGGGCTGCCTAGAGAGCACCCGTGCCGATGCTCTGTTGCCAACGAATAGCAACATAGTCACCATGTTGCACTTCGGGACCAACAGAGTCAGAGTGCTTCGACACGAGAAGCAGAAAACCGAAACTTCTCCTGCAACCAACCGCACGCTCTTCAACGCATGCACTTATTGTGAAGATTCCAATTACAAAGCCTGTATACGAAACACAGTGGACAATGAGTTATATTTCACCAGAAAGGAATGAGGTCACCATCTGCCACACCAACTTCCCATGCGCGCTCGAAGATATATGATCTGGACATCGTCCTAAAGCTGGCGCCGTATGCTCCGACGTCAAAGGCTCACCGGCGGAGACCGGTGAGAGTCTGCTAAGAAGACACGAGACGGACCGGACTCACCGGTCTCACCGGGCCAGCAGCACTACCTGTGATCCTCCTTCCTCGGAGTCTGGGCTCGCTCGGACAGTCTGACAGGACCTCTGCCGGGTATTCAAATGCGCATCGTGTTTAACCGTTGAGTTATTCCGCAAATCTGACGTGGTAACTTGCGGGAGATACAGGAATGAATATCGCGATTATTGCTGGTGCGGGAATAGCGGACGTACTGGGAGTCATGAGCTTCCAGTACGTTCTCGACGCCAGTTATGATATCTTGCAATCGATGCATGCGGCCATGCATTCCAGTCCCCTCCATGCGACATGGACGACGGAACTCTTGGATCTTCGACGGCGATGATTGCCGATCATGGCTGCCGCTGCTGGGCCGCAGTTGCAGGATGGATGGAGAAGGGTTGTGGTGCGCGGTCGTCAGTCGGGGGCTTTAATCGTGTGGTCGTCTCGGCTGGGCCAGACCGGCGCAGTACTGTAATTCGGAGCAACCGCATATCGTCAACGAGGTCTGCGGAAGTTGGTGGAAAATCTCGACTCGAGTGCGTGGACACCAATGCAACCCCCGGAGCAGAAAGGAGCCCGAATGAATGCTCGGGCGGGCCATCAGAGTCCGGTCCTTGAGTGTCAGGGCCTAAATTTCCGAGATCTATGATTTCCTCAACCACATCGTCGCTCACCTCACCAACGTACTCAAAGAAGGAGACCACGTACGTCCTCACAGTAGCCCGCCAGCCAGCACAGCAACTGGACAGTTCATACTCGAGTGTCAATCCATCGATGGATCTCCGTAACTCGGTCTTGAGCCCAGCCTCGCAACGGCGTACGTCAGGCTCCCACTTCCACAGCTCCGTCCGCCGCGAGTGCACACACGCGCCACCTCCCATCCGTAATGTCACAATTAACGTAACGGAGCTTCCGTGATCTGGACCTACTCAAAGAAAGCGAGTGGAAGGAACGTCCCGTAGGCCTTTCTCTCGCTCTCGCTCTCTCTGAGTTGGGTCTCGGTTTCAACCAATGGCCGAATCGCGGACTCGATGGCATTTAGTGCATGGAGAGGACGGGCATAATGCCGAACTGGTTGCGATCCATTCTGCCCGAGCGAGGATGTTCCTCCCTAGTGGCTGCTGACTGATTCCCTGCTGTGCTATGCTGACTGACCGGCGAGCGAGCGAGCGAGCGAGGCTGTCGCTGTTGTGCAAGCGGTTTAGCATTCGATGGAAGGACAGCAGATTGATGGTCGTAAACCCGTCAGGGAGAACATAATGGATGACTGAAAGAGCGGGGTTTACGTGAGCTTCTGCTTCGGTTCTTCCGGACTTTGATGACAGTCGCATAAATGGAATGAACGCTTCGCTATGAGTACATTCCAATTATCAACCGCTGCATGGGCCTACTTGCAGCCGGAGCGCGCGGATAAAGGACGGCCTCGTGCCCAAGTGCGCTCGTTGTCGCTGGTGTGCGATCGAGTCTGGCACAAGTCAAGTCGGTCACTTCGCATCATGCACTCGCTCTATTTTGGAGCAGCTGAGCAGCTCACTTCTGTGATGTTACGGGTTCAGTTTTCTCGCCTCCACGCATCGTCGATCGACAGTACTTATACTTGAGACATCCGAGCAGGAAGAACTGAGCGGTCGATCTGCCTTCTGCATGCCTGTGACGGAGGAGGAGGAGGAGGAGGCGGAGGACCTGAAAAGATGAGGCGATATATTATACCCCAGATGCTGGTTGCAGCACTCGTAATGGCATTGAGCTGCTTGCAGTGTTCAGTGAGAGCTGCTACTGCGTCAAGGCCCGGCGGCATTTGTGAGATTTTCGTGCTGCCTCGAGGATATGCATGCGATGAGCGTCAGGTGGCAGGCAGCTCCCGAATTCGCTGGATCAGATTCTCTCAGTTGTTGCGTCTAGATGCACCGCGGCGGCCTGTCCGTTGCTCGCTCTTACACTACTATGTTGTCATGCTTGACTAGCATGCACGGGAATGACGGATGTGTATGCTTGGGGCGATTCATGCGTTCGATTCTCACCCGCAAGAGCCCGAGCTCGGAACAATTTTGACTCTGGACTGCCATTGTTTCTTCCAGGTCCAGACAGACGATGGATTCCTACTGGGGGTACAGAGAGTGTCCACCAAAGCTCAAAGTGGAACTACCTCGAGAAAGCCAGTCTTCTTATATCACGGAATGCTCTCGGTAATGTCAGTCCATCCCTCTGGTTTCTTCCTTTCTATCACTCATGCGTTGTACAGAGCATTGCCGTTTGAGTGTGGATAGTAGCAGCAATTCTACTCTCCAACATGTCGCTTCATCAGACAATCGCGAGTTGCATTCTCCAGTGACGTTTTGTGATGCCTACTCGGCGAGAGGTCCACGTCTGAAATATATACTTTGCTTCATGCCGTATATCGAGGGGCAATTCCACATTGTAGTAGTCCAGCCGAGTCCACATCGTCTGATTACGAATTCACCGGAATTTCTTGGGCTACATCTTTGCATGTTTACTTCCCTTGCTCAATGGCGTTCACACCGTCTTCCGTGTTTCATGCTCAGCGCTGAACTTTCTAACTTTTAAGCCTCTGTACATTTCATGCACTTACACACTTGATTCTCAGGGAGGAGAGTCGTGGCTTTTGAACGAGAGGGACAATTCCCTCCCCTTGGTTCTAGCAGATGCCGGTTATGACGTTTGGATTGGAAACACGAGAACGACAGATTTCAGCTATGGACACACCACAGCGTCGAGAGGCGATCAGGTACGTCCCACAAGGAGAAATCTGGGACTGCACAATCATTCAGACTTCAGGGTTGCAATGTGCGCTTTTGTTGTACCAATTTAATGGGCTTGAACTGCTGAACTACGTACATTCACTGGGATAAAGGCAAGCAGGCAGTCAGAGAGAGAATTTTGCCGGAGGACTGCGCAGTACAGTACGTTTTATATGAATGCAATGTACAGCAGTGACTTCATCGCGTGGTTGTGCAACTCAACCGATGGATGTACTGCAGTTTATCATGTTAATGACCGATATCATGACCGAGTGTTGCCATTTCGTGTCGTTCACTCGGTGATCCTTGAACTCGCAGGAATTTTGGGACTGGAGCACGGATGATCTCGTCGCCCACGACTTGCCCATCATGCTCCAACTGGTGTACGCCGGCACCAATCAAACGGCTCACTTCGTTGGCTTCTCGCAGGTAAGGTCATGAATCCTTAACGCCACTATAGTGATGGAATGAGGTCGGATCTGAATTTTCTGCAGGGGCGATTTTCAGCTGTCAGCATGCGCAGCCGGTGAGCATCCGAGAGGGGACTGACGGGAAGGAACATGCATACCAACGGACTGACCGGCAGACCTTTGCAGACATTTACGGACCTTTGCTGAGCTCTCGTTCGTTCGTGCTGACAGGGCACTCAAGTGGCTGTGGGGGGGTTCGTCGAAGGGCACGTGCTTCCCTATGTGGATAGAGTAGTGCTTCTGGCGCCCGTCGTACGCGTCGACACGATTAAATCGGCGATGGGAATAGCCGCGGGGCTGTTTCTAGTAGATCAGGTTGACCGATCACTCAATTCAATGATTTCGGTCCTGGTGCATGTGTTGGGGCTCAGATGAGACTTGGTATCCCTGGATCTTGTAAACATTGTGAAGAGCGAGCACTTAAGCAAAATGATGGTCACACCCTCTCGAGAAAATGTGAACCGCGGCACCCAACATATTCTAGCTATGAACATAAAACAATCCAAACGTAACATTATAAAGGGAGTAAGGAAGCATGGAACATGATTGCTCTCCTATGGATTGCACAAGTTAGTGTTTTCCTTTAGAGACCTCTGGCTGGTGCGATCCAAAAGAAAGCAATCACGTTAATATTGTAAATGCTTTCATTACTGGGTGGATCCAAGCTAGTTGAGTACTGAGGAGAGAAGAATTTATACCTTTACAGGCTTAATGAGACCGGATGATGTTTGTTTGTGTGCAATGTGCAGATGATGCTTTTGGCCCGTATTTGGGAGTTCAATGCTCACCTGTAAGTTCCCGGAACCGAATTCCTCGTCCTCTTTACTTTGAGATTGTGCGAATTCGACTTCGAGTGCGAGTACAGGAGGCGCGCAGGAGATACTATGTGCTGATAAGATTGTAGGCTTTTCCTGCCTCCACACAGTGATGCAGACCCAGCCAGCACCTCGAGGCATTCTTCATAATTTATTTATCTCGGTTTGCATGCAGACAATCGGGGGAGAAGCTACTTAACACCATTTGCGGGTACCCGAACGCCCATTGCTACGACGACTACATCTCCACTTTCACTGGTGTGTGTCCACACCCTCCAGCGAGCGTTACGTGAATGACTTGTCGGACCGATCCGACTTCAGCCAGTAGTTTGACTAACGTACATGTCATGATTCAGGCGCAAATTGCTGTCTGAACGAGACCAGGAGAGGCTACTACGAAGAGTACGAGACGCAGTCCACGGCGACGAAGAACCTCGCCCATTTCGCGCAGCGTAAGTTGAGCTCTCCTCCTCTCCTGCTGCCATTCAATCAGGTCTTAATCAATCAAAGGTCTTGGGATCACTTGTGCTTAGATAAGCTGAGCTGATCTGAGCTTTCTTGCTTGCGCAGAGTATCGAACGAACTCGTTCGCCAAGTATGACTACGGATGGTGGAACAATCTCTTCAGGTACCACTCGCTGTCTCCTCCCGAATACGATCTGCGGAGAATTCCCGCCATGCCCATGCTCCTGGTGTACGGAGGCACGGACGGCCTGGCCGACGCCGACGACGTGCAGCTCTTTCTGAAGAGCATCACTTTCAGTCCGCAAGAGCTCTTCCTTCCCGATTACGGCCACCTGGACTTGCTGGTAGGCACTCGGTCCAACGTGGACATCTACCCAACTGTGCTCGATTTTCTCGCAAAGCCCGACGTGTGACTGGACGAATACAGACCGTGGCTGCTCAAAGCAGCGCCAGTTGGCCGGCTGACGTGGATTAGTTCATCGCTGTAAATTTTAGAACAAGGATGTAACGAGAGGTTATTGACCAGGTATAGCACACTGTAATTTTTAATCGAGAAATAGACTACAGAGAGTGTTCGGTCTTTAGCCACAGTACTGCGCTGCAGGTCACTGCTTGTTTTCGAAAGCGCGTCGTGGACATAAACTACGTGACTGCTGTCAGTGGACACTATTTCCTCCTCCCCAAATCTCTGTAACTAAGAGTCGCGCTCCTGCATCTGGCAGGTTCTAATTTCGTAAACGAGCTACAATCTAGGAGATGACGACTCTGGTGCCTGTCGTATATACCAATTGTACAGAAGTCTCGTCGAAATCGAGTTTGAAGAGCATTTGAAGCTTGGTTCAAACCATGATGAGAAAACTTGATACTACATAGTAGTGAAACATATATCTTTTAATAAAATGCTACGAATCCACTGACTTTTCTTTGAAATAATCTGATTAGTTCTTCTTAACATATATGCAAACATACCAATGCGTATACACATGAACGGATCATAATTTACAGCATATGAAGTTGGGATATACTGTTGTTGTAATCTTCAACCTTGTTTACATCGTTAACACACAATCCATCAAACGTCGGGATGATAAAGTTTATATATATATATATATATATATACCAAGTGTGGAATTAATGGATGAACACATGATATAACAATGGACAAACTCGTTTGCATCCTACGACACAATCTATCAAACGATCAGATGATAAATTATATAGGTCATTTCAACGATGTGATTTTAGTAAATAACCATTATGACTAAGTTTGCTATCTACGAAAACTAGGATACACTGATTACTTTCAACATGACATGAGCGATGAAAAATGTAATGCAAAATTTTTAACAATATGAACTGTTATTAGAAATGCATAAATATATGATAAATTGCCTGATCTTGTTTTATTTATGCTGTGATAATTGATATAAAAAAAGATGTATATTTGATGACATGAAGACATTCGAAAGTCAGATATACAATATATCATTAGAGATATAAATTGAATTTATCATGGTTGAAATTGAAATTTATTATGTTTCAAATATATAAGCTTTGAATGATGATTTTGCTTGAAATTTAAGTGTAAGAAATCGTTTTTTTACATTGATATCAATATTATTTGTATAGAATTAAGAAATATAGAGCTGTGATGCAAAAGATGTGTATATAAAAAATTTTCATTCTATATAAAAGTGTTTAAATATGGGAAAAAATAGTAGATATTATTATCTTAATTCATCAGATTTTTGACTAATCAAAGATGAAACAAATTTCACTATAAAGATATATATTTTTGAATTACCTTAAAAACTAACACAATCATTCTCAACTGACAGATTTATTCCTACTTGACATATATATGTTATACATTATAAGTGATCTCAATGAGGTTTATGTTGAGTGACCTCTAATCTTACATTAATAAAGTCTAATCAATATTGGTTGACAGATTCAAAATTAAAAAGTCTATGTTCTTTTATAAAATATCACCGACAACATTACATATATTTTTCATATGAATAAAGATTGAAATTTTAATTCTGCTACAAGATATATACATATGTATAGAAAAAAATTTCAAGAAAAATATATCTGTAAAAATCCTGTAGTTATTTCAAGTATGTATTTTGAAAGCAAAATACTTTTATATTATATTCATTTTTTCACAATATTCTCACCAGAAAAAGTCATGCACGGGCATTGTTTCATCTTCATACATTTGAAGTGCGTTGAATTATATAAATAAGTATTTATTAATTCTATAATTATAGGGACATCCAAAATTTTATGCAATCCTGATTATCAGCTATAATTGTAATTATTTCGAATTTTTAATGCCATTAGAAAATATAAGATACATCAAAATGAAATATGTATTATTTGTTTGTACTATGGAGTTTAAAAGCAGAAGCTACAAAATAAGTTTTGAACAAAGAATAAAGTCATTTTGATAATATCAATCATGTATATAATATAATACTATAAATTGGAGAAAATTTTGTATATCAAATCAAAATAATCAATGGAATAATTATTTTTTAATTTATATCAATTTTTGAATAAACAAAAAAGTTCAGAAATTTTCATGGATATTTATATATTATGTCAGAATCAGACTTTAAAATCAAGCTTGTGTTATTCAGTATAATAACACATGTTTTTTATTTTAAAAAATAGGGTTTTTATACAGCACATGTGTTATATTTGGTGATGAATAAATTTCTTTATACTTTTTTAATCAAAGAATGTTGAAGATAAGATCGATGATAACATATATTTGTGAAATAAGTTTAATGTAAGATCTTTCCAGAGAATCAATCAAATTGAATTGGCCAAATGTAAAAGAAGTTACACAATGATCACTGCCTCGTACTAATATCTTGACCTTTTTAACTCCTCGATCAAATCCGACACTTGAAGCCCAAGAGATGAAATTGTTTATAGGATTATAGAATCAACTCCAGTAGAAACGGATTAACCGCGAGGTTTTATAGCTTTTCTTCCCAAGAGTCTTCTCAGAAGTAGAAAAGTATTTTATAGTCAATGGAGAATATTCTCCATTTTGAACATGAAACCAAAAATAAGTAATATCGTGGTAAAAGAGATTGGTGATGGCAAATAGATTAGAGATAGATTGGCAAAATTCTGTGTAGCTAGAAGTTAGGCGATTGTTTATGATATAACAGTTCAGTGGAATTTGTGTTTCTTAAATGAAATAACCAGTTGCAGAGGAGAAACACTGGAGACCTAAGGTAGAATGTTTTTACTAAACGACACGATGATTCGCAAGCACGAAATGAATACACCATGAAACTTGTTGGTATTCTACTTACCTGCTAACTACATTTGACCAAGGCAAAGGGAGATTGACGGGACGTAAAAAACAACCAAGCCCAGAGTGACAAGTCAGATAATCACAGAATAAAGAGCATTATAATACATGTTCACAAAATGCCGATGTGATTATCGTGCATACGTTGACAAACGCAAGCAAGTCGGACGGGTCAGATGTCCCCATTTTATGAGAATTAGAAGCCAATTTGTACGAAAGGGTTGGCTTCCATTGATTCCATAGCAACAGAGCTCGTTTCCGGTTAGATTCCGTACTGGGACTGGCCTTGCGAGGGACCCGCGGTTCTTGGAGCAATCAGTCCGTCAGAGGGCCGCTTTGATTGACTTCAGACATTTCCGGCTGCATCCCGTGTCTTGCACACACGCAGGGACGGAAATGAGGAGCGTTCGTTCTGCTTCGATGTTCGTCGGTGCCCTCTGAGAGAAGTGGAGTGAAGAGAAGAAGGCGGACGGGAACGGATGGTCCGAGGGTCTGTCGTTTAGCGATGAGATGCGCTGCGTTGCTTGTGCAGGCCGAGAACGAGAGAGCGTGCAGAGAGAGCAGCAGCAGCGCTACTTGAGGAACAGCGAGGAAAGCCCGTTCTTTCGTCCATCTTCGCTCGTTCGTGGTGGCCACTCACGAATGAATGAATGAACGAACGACCCGGCGGATGAGCGAGCGAGCGACTGACTGACTGATTGCCCTTGATTCGTTCGGCGATCGCAGATCTTGATGATGGCCTCGTGAATCACTCTGTCGGTCGGGCGGTCGACTAATCTTGTTTTGATTTTGCCATACCAGGCAGTGGCAAGGAAAAGGAAGAGACGAGAGAGAACGGAGAGCAGCGAAAGAGAAGGAGCCTTCCGTTTGTGTCTGTCTTATGCCATTGGCGGTGGCATTGGCCGGTTTTGCGGTGTTCTTCTGGCAAGATCGCCGTAAGGTTTCCGGCGCGTGAGCGTCTTGGTCTGGTGATGGCGTTGGAGTTCTTGTAAGAATTGTTGGTATTGTACGGATTGTTGCGCCGTGGACGAGCGGAAAGAGAGTGGTCGATTGTCCAGACCCTTTTTGTTGGGTCTTCGCGGAAGCTAGAGAAAGGAGAACTCGGTCAAGATGTTTTCCAGCAGTAAGCTTAAGGCAATTGACTTCTACAGGTATTTGTTTGAGAGCTCCTTCCGATTTTGTTTGCCCAAATTCAGCTCGCTTTTCTGATGGACGTTGTCTATTTGCGCTTTACTTGTGTTCAATGGTAATACTTGCAAAATTTACCGCACGAAATTCGATAAGGCGATATGAACATTACAATGCAGACATGGGTAATCGCTAGTATGACTGGCCTTAAACCCAGGAGTGTTGCATTTTAGCTGATTCTGCGTCGGATGCAACGGATGGATAAATCACAGTGCCCTCCACGTAATGAGTGAGACACGTATATTTCTGAGTAGCTGAATAGTGAAGTAGGTGCCCTTCACATCGCTGAGCTAGACAGAATCAGTGACTGTAAAATTAAGCGCATCGCGCGAGGAGAACATCTCGGTTGCAATAGATAGATAAAAGTCCTCATGACCAATTTCTCCCAAGTCATGGTAGTCAAAACTTATTCTGCAGATAACTTAGTATGATAAGCCCACTAAGTCTGTTTGAGCTGCAAGGATCTCATAAGCTAAAAATAAATGTTACATATTCTTCCCATTCACAGAAAAATCGGCATGTTTGGTGCCTCTGAAGGTGATCGTATCTGATTTGAGTGGAATTCATTGTTGAAATTGCACCCTTATAAGTAGTCATCCTAGTCTTAGTTGGAAGCCCACACTTGAGTCTGATGTAGGCCAATCTTATAAGTTCCACCTGGCCACATGGAAGGTAGAAAAACTTTTTCACAGATTCAGCAGACCTTCCAGCATTTTTTTTTGTTAATTACCACAACCTTGCCTTTGGTTGTTCACTGAGTTCAATCCAGTCTGGACATCTCCTTAAGGTCAAGAAGTGATAAGCGCTCACCTTACGAGACAGGGCGTTTTATCATAACGTCGATATTGTGGGCTCTTCCTGAGGGTAGTTTGTTTGTTTTTATTTTATATTAATTTTATTATTATGGATCTCGGAAAAGGCACTAGCACAAGTTAAAATAGTGGAAAAGTCAACTGTTTGAAAAATAGTAAAACAACCCATAATCCCGAGAGCTAATCCAAAATCACCTACGCGATTCATGAGCATAGCTTTAATAGCCGTTTTATTTGCCTTAATGCATTACAGGTAAAAACTTTTCACCGTTATTGTAACTGGCCATACGGGTTGTACAGTTTTTCCATTCTAACAAAGGTTACCATGGTTGCAGGAAAATACCTAGAGATTTGACAGAGGCGTCTCTTTCTGGTGCAGGCTTGTCAATCATAGCTGCATTTGCTATGGTTTTCTTGTTTGGAATGGTAGGGTATCCTTCTGTCTCATCGTTTTGCATCAGACGAGCTTTCTTAATTATTGTCAACATATGTAAGCAGGGTCTGCTGTAGCTGCACTTGAATGAATTTGTAGTCTTTGAAGTAGGCAAATTTTCTGTATTGAATCTGTTTTGTAAAATGGGAGATCGAATGGACACATTTTTCAGGAACTCAACAGTTACCTAAGTGTCGCAACATCAACCACAGTGGTCGTGGATAGAAGCAAAAACGGGGAACATCTCCGCATCGATTTTAATGTTAGGTGTACATCTAATCCACTCGTTGTATAAAAATGTGATAACCTTTGTCGGTTGCCTAGCTATCAACCATGCTCTTGAACTTTAAATTCTTAACCCTGTAGTTATGCCAGTGGTTTCATATTTCCAAGTTGTAGAAGTGACCTCTATTCAGTTGATTATTGTTGATTTTATGAAGTTGCATTAACACGCACCTCTTCTCTGCAGCTTTCCGAATTTATCTTGTGAGTTTCTTTCTGTTGATGTCCATGACGTACTTGGAACTGTAAGTAACAACTTCATTTGATTCATGTGTTTCGAGTCTTCCTTGAATTCTTTCTTCGAAGCTGAGGGACGTAGGCTTCCCTAACTTAAGAGAAGAGAAATCTGTCAGGTGCTTGGTATACATCAATAAAGATGGGATTGTAGTTTAAGAACTGATACTGCAAACCTACATGCAAACTGCTTTTGATTTGAAATACGCCAGAGAAAGTTGCAGAGCGCTTAGATTCTAAAATATGAGTGTCATCGAAGAGGGTTTTCCTGCTTTTTTCTTTTCTATTTCATGTCCTGGTTACGTGCTATATGTGCTCTGGTTCAGGAGGAAAAATTTGTACATGCATATGATAACACTTGTCTACAAATCACCTGTTATTGAAATGCAGGTCAGACAAAACCTCACCAGGACAGTTCGGAAGTATCCAATAGACTCCAATATGAATCGAGTAGGTCAAGATGTACATGTTGGACATTTACCAACGATTAGGAATCACGGGGATCACCACGGAGACGAGGAACTTGCAGAAGGTGTTGGAGAAGGAGCCGTCGAGTTGGGTGTGGATAACTTTGACACTTATGCTCATGAGTATTATATCTAACGTTTACCCTACAATTCTTGATTGAAGGCACTTGAGTTATTTTCTGGGCTATTCATTTTGCTGTTGAAAGTGTTCCTTCTCTTTGTGTTGATATTGCCCTAGAGATGCTGTATCATGTGAACTTATATTCCTTTGCTGTGGTTCAGGTTTCCTATCTTGCTTGTCAACTTTTATGCCGGATGGTGTTCATGGAGTCAACGCTTGGTAAGCCCAAGAGCCCTCTGAAGTCTTTATGAATATCGCGAGGATATTGCCTCAGTAGAACGATTGTACTACTGAGGCAATATCCTCGGTAGTACAATCGTTCTACGAATCCATTATATTCACAAAAAGGTTTTCGGATGCACATGCATATAAGATATGTGCCTAGTGTGAGCCAAGATGAAAACATAACATTGTGATGCTCTGATATGTCCGCTTTATATATGAGGTAGGTGAGCTAAATTTCTATATTGATAGGTGAGCCATAGGGGACAAACTTAGTAGGCTTGTACACTGGTTATGGTCTATCACTGAAGGTACTTCATTAATCGTCTTTCACTTTCCAGAAACCGTCATGGGAGAAAGCAGCGCAGATTATTCACGAAAGGTAAGAAGATCTACCGCAAATTTTATACTGTCAATCGATAATGAGACATGTGCATCTTTTTCTCAAATCAGTCAGTGTCTCAAATCAATCTTAACCTCTCAGCCATCGAAGAAATGGGTGCTTTCCGACGTAATTTGCTCTTGAAAGGGAAGTCGGAATATGTACTAATGAGCATCGTCTTTCATAGCCTGGAGACCAAAGAGCGGAATAATACAGTACCATTAAGGCCCCAGTAAATATGACTTGAAAGTGGTATATTCGTCATATCTTCCGTCTATCACCACTACCTTTTCAAATCTCTTGTCATATGAAACCAGAAACCACCATAATTTAGTCAGTATCATAATAGTTGGAGAACTGTGGCGTTTAACTCTCCGATCGAGTCACTTCGAATCACATTCACTTATCAAAGTGAATGTGATTCGAAGTGCTGCTGCTTTGCGCTCTGAATCGAGGCTAAGGGATTCCGTAAACACTTTGGACTCCAACAGCAGAGCCGAGGTTAGGAGACAGTATCGCTCTCATGCTATACACCCAGCTGCATTTGGTCAAATATGGAATAAGAATATCTTCTTTCTTGTCGCACTGGGTGCAAGTTGCGGAATAGTTCCCCATGTTGCTTATCTTGTGGTCGAAAGGATGACTGCCATCCGGAACTTCAACCTTCGCCGCGTCTCGAAACAAGGAACACCCTTGACTTTAGTGATTGAAGATGACGGGTTTGAGGTCCATGGTAGCTAGGGAGAGCTTTGCAGTTCAGGCCAGCCCAGTTTCTCGGAGAGACCACTAATCTCCTGTTACTGAAGTTTCGAAGGACTTTACGTCTCCCCTAAATTTAACCCCGTGTGTGCATATAGTAGCAAAATATATCACTCGAAGTTTTATAAGAATCTAGAGCCTCTTATTTTGTGTGAGGGTTTGTCGATGTCCTCATGATTAGTGCACAGAAACCTTTACCGTTGATATTTAGCTGAGGAAGTGGCTTGCTGCGAGCCTGAACTGTATAGATGACTAACGATCACATTACATTGCTTTGATGCTTCTACCCGAACCATTGAAATGTGCGTTGGTACTGCTGAAGAAGCTGGATGAAGGCGAGCATCAGCTAAAAAATTGAAATTCGTTTCATTGCTCAGATATCACCCGGACGACGACGGGCGAATCATGTTGGGAAAGGTTGACTGCGCCGAAGCAAGGAATCAGTTGCTGTGCAGATCGTAAGAAGAAGACCTCTGATATCTCCGTCCCAGTATTTTGGCTTTGTGTCATTGCTTGAGGGTTTTATTGGCTAATCTCCTACTATATTTGTTTCAGTGTTGAGAATACCTGTTGGTTATTTTTCACAGGCATCACATTCAAGGATATCCGTCCATCAGAGTCTTTCGCAAGGGCCAGGATGTCAGGTAGATTTCTCAGCCTCACCCAGGATAGTTTGACATGTCAGGTCGTATTTGAATTATGATGTTCATAAGGCTGACTTTCAGTGAGAAGCGACTGTAATGGAACCATCCGATTTCTTAGTTCGTTTCTGCTTATATCAGTTTGGCGTCTGCATGACCTCCGCCATTTTTAAATGGCGGAGGTCATGCAGACGCCAAGGCAAACCTTGTATGCATTACAAGGTTTGCTTTGCAAGGTTGTGGCCATTTATATTCCTTTCACTTTTCGTACTCAGTCTTCTGAAAGAATGTCGTATTCTGTTTTCGTGATTTAAGTTCACTTTTTTAGCCCCAAACCCTACTTTCATAATTGCCTACTTAATTCAGAACCTGTCTTCTGGAATGGTCGATTACATAAAATGACATGAACATGTTGATCGCTTAACTTTCCCTTTGTCAAGTGCTGCAAAGCACGCAACATAGTTGAAAATGGGTTGGGTTTGCCACTTCCTTATTCAACAAATTGTCAATGCCTCTCCACTATGCCTGTCTGGGTACGTGTTGAACAAGTTATGAAAGTGTTATGTGGGGCGAAATGCGATGTCAAAAGTGAGGGCAGTCTTCTGAATGTCGGTCATTTTGGACACTCATTGTCATGCGAATAGTATGATAAAATCGTTTTTTCTTTGTTTGTGACATGAATCAATTCGTCTATACTGCTGATGTGGATGTTCAACAGAGGGTATGTGCGAGCATTTTCCAACTTCTGCCCTTTTTGAAGAATAGGTTATTCTACACTGTAAGCTAGACATGCAGAGGGTTCAAGGATATCTTTGCAGCTGATGCATCGCCTCACTTTTACGCAAGTCTTTGATTCTAATGTTCTTCGATGTTCCCATGTCGTAATAATCTCATGTTTTTGATGAGTGGTTTCGCATGATTGTAGGGACGCACAAGGGCGTCATGACCACGATTCATATTACGGTGAACGAGACACTGACTCGCTGGTGGCGGTATGTCCCTGCTTTTAAGTTGTTGACCATCGCGAGCTGGCTGCGTTTTTCTCATACCGAAACGTCGTTAGGATGAATCTTATCTGAAAACTTTTGATTCGTAGATCGGCCTTCTTACAGCAAGAATGGGCAAGTAACTTTGACCTTTGGTATAAGGCTCCTACGTCATCGACATATGATTTTATGTAACGAATTACTACCTTCCAAGTCTTTTGGTGGGCCGTGACAGTACGTGCTAGCAGTACACGTTGTTTTCCAGTCTCTTTCTCACTTTTTTTTGCATTTGCAGTTTGCTGAAACGTTGGTCCCAGTTCCAACGGGGGCTGGAACTCTAGCTTTGGAAGATAAGAGTGAGAACAACTCTACTGTCAAGAGATCAGCTCCTAAGTCAGGTGGCTGTCGGGTTGAAGGATTTGCCATGGTGAAGAAGGTATTGTGCCAAGATCAGGAAGAATGATAAATTAACGAAGATTCTCCTCTCCTAGATTTTTCTACTAGTTCTATTCTGAAACCTGTACACATCTGGTGTTATTGCAACTCTTTTCCAGAAGACATTACGAAGATGGAGGTTTCACAAGTTCAGTCCACAGAGCTTGCCTCGTGCATTTCCTTTTCCGTTGTCATAAGATGGGAAAGAAACGTTGTTCTTTTTTTTCTTCCAAAGTTGTTCATATAATGACACGTGGGTAAACGTACAAGCCAAGTTACGTGAAGGGTCGTTGTGGTGCCACAGGTCCCAGGAAGCATTATTATTGCAGCTCGGTCAACCTCCCATTCTTTTGATGCAGCAAAGACGAATATGTCACATTACGTTCAGTCATTTTTTTTCGGTCGTAAGCTTTCGTACACACTGGCGAAGGAGGTCTATCGTGTTTATCCATTACTTGATGGCGTAGAGGAGACTCTCACTGGACATATGTACACTTCACCTCATGAAAACATAACAGTACGTTTCTGATTTTCTGCATCCTTCTCGCAAGAGTTCCTAAATGTCACGTTCTGCACCTGGTGTACCTCGGATTCCACTGGACACTAACATTCTCAGAATATTAAGCAACTGGTATTCAAACATTCCTTTTAGTTTCTGAGAGCCCTAAATCAATCCTCTAATTCGGCGGAAATGCTCGTCCTTTTGAGTTCGAAATCCTCATTGTCAGGATGGGTGTTTGAAGCTTCGACTAGCACTTCAGCGTTATATCTAGTCTTTCAGGTTCTCGCATCTTCTTTAGACACCTGTCAACGAGGACTTCGTTCCGGAAGTTCTTATATGTTGTTACCTTAAAGTCTACCAAGAACTAGATTGCTCTTTTCTTTACAGGATCAAGCCTTAGTTCGCGTGGTTTTCGCACAGGAGAGGATTCTCTCTGTTGTTCTTTGCAGACTGTACCCACTGCCTGGTTTAAGGCCATCTAGAACATTTGTTTGATGAGAGGAAGTATTCTGATTATATATGGGAACGTTGTGGTGCACTACCAGTTCGATCATTACCTGCAGGCAGTAAAGACGGAGGTAATATCACTGAAAAGTTCGAAGGATTTCAAATTGTTGGAAGAGTACAACTTTGTTGCCCATAGCGCTGAGTTACAGACAGCGGACGTTCCTGTGGCCAAGTTTCAGTATGAGTTATCTCCAATGCAGGTACGTTAATGGACAGCTCTTTGTCAGCCATAGATTACATGTCCAGTCTTTTACAGAATGAGAAATATGTCTTGGGATGAGTATGAGGTGAGCCCTTTCTTTTATTTTCAATATCTGAGATCAGAAATAGACGCTAGAAGAAACAAGTCCTGAGGTAGATTTTCATGATCTGCTGAGCTTTTGCCTCGATGGTCTCTGAATTTGACCTCCATTATCGACTTGTAATGCAGGTGCTCGTGAGTGAAACTCCCAAGTCTTTCTCTCATTTTATTACAAACGTTTGCGCAATAATTGGAGGAGTCTTCACGGTATGTTGTACATACATATCAACTTTTCTGTCTCATGTCTAGGGATGTAAACGGTTTACTCCACTTTTCACATGTGTCACATATCAGTCATCAAAAGCACAGTCTAGATTCAGTATCTCCGAGGAGAGTATCAATGTGGGTAGGCAACTGTTTCTTGTTAAGGGAAGTGATTATTGTCGGATGAGGTGCACTTCATGAACTTGCACTGAATATAAATTGTATTGACTTATCAGGTTGCAGGCATCATCGATTCGATGTTGCACAGTGCCATTCGCATGGTGAAGAAGGTTGAACTGGGTAAACAGTACTGATTTCTCTCAACTGCGGCCTAGTTAATTGATCGTGAGCTGTATTGAACTATTTGGTGCAATAATCTTAGCATGTAGGAGAGGATTCCATGTCCTTCACTTGTCAACCTGAGGTGGTCATCAGTATCATGGTCTGGTCTTGAACCCGTCCGATCAGTCGCCACTTCTCGCCATTATGGTTGGTCACCCTCCGCGGTCAAAGCATTTGATATAGAAGACTTCATTGACCTTCTGCCGCAGGGTCATTGGTATAATTTCATTCCCCTATGTATCACGTCTGACAAAGGGTAGAACGGCACACTGGGAGCTGATAAGTCTGTAGGAAGGGAAACAACAGGCGATTTCCTTAAGCCCACTGCGGAAGCACATTCCATAGCCATGCATGGAAATGGCCGTTGTAAATTTTGAGCTCCCCCGAGCACTTGAAAGGAAATTAGACATTAGTGATGATGGTTGTAGAAGAGAAATAATATTGTAATACGTTGTGAGAACTGAGTGCTATTTCCTCTCGTTTGCTGCAGTTGTCTAGTTTACAATCATCTCTTTGTCGATATTAGGATCACTGGGAACTGGTAAGAAATCATGAAATGTTGTGTGTACGATATAGAGCCTTGAAGGATTGCTTTCTTTCTGTTTATATTTCTTTTGTCGGGAAGGCGGAAGGTGGGTGCCTTTCAAGAGCAAGAAAAGTTTAGGGCTCATCGAGGAGCTTTGTGTTACTAAGTAATATGAAGGGTCAGGAAGTCGCCCTCATTCCATAACCAAAGCAAAACGATGCGAGAATAAAATATGAGAAGACTATTGTAACGATCTTGGCATCTTAGATCCTGAGTTTCGTCCTTAGGTTCCGATCACGGATGATTCTGACAATCCAATCATGGATCAATCCTTACATGAATCTGACGTTCAAGACGCCTCTTGAGTCCAAACGGAGTCCAAACGTCAACAGAGCCACTGTTTCGTGTGACAGAATGTCGGATTGAACCTGTATATATTAATATTGATATCTGGATGAACTTCGACAATGTATGCACAAGTATTGAGTATATGAAGTTCGTCAAGTTTGTAGTGATAGTTTACAAAGTATCACCGAGAGTGTGAGCTTCAAAGTAATTGGCCACTGATCTATTCAAACCACGGTTATGTAGGCTTTTATTGATGTCCCAATTGACTTCACAAACTCCCCTTCAATTCTACCTAGCTTAGGGGTTCAATAATTTCTACACCATACAAGCCAGTACAAAGAACTCCTTGAAGGTAAGTATGGAAGAAAATAGCTTCTCATTTATGAACAATAATTAGCCAAAACGAAACCCTAGTTGACAATACTTTCGATAAAGACCACATTAAGTATTTACAAAACTTTGCGAAATGCCATGCATATTTTGTTTTTTTTTATATTCCTTCACTAAATGCAGCATCATAGTTAAGTTCTCCATGAAACATAGTTCACACAAGGTGAGCATTGATGGTTGGGAATTAATCAAAGTGGATCGTCTTGGCATCCTTTCTTTTATCCTTGACCTTGACCTTCTTCATTTCACTGTCCACGTCTTGATAGTCTTTGGACCCAAGGTAGGACAAGAGAAGTGGGTAGAGAATAATGACTTCAATAGATTGACCCTAAATCCGTCGAGGTCGGATGTATATTGTTGATTGGGCATAACCAAGTATATAAGTGTTCGAGCAACTGTTTGCATCTCATCATCCCCTCCCAAAGGGAAAAACATCTCAAGCACCACCTCATAACCACCATGAGCTAGCAATGCATATGCTCAAACTGTAAAAGTTTAAAACTTTCGATGTAGATGCTGTGCAGCAGAGGCCAACATATTATTTCAAATCTGCACCCAGACCAGACCATATCCATCAGGAGCGACCTAAGCCCACCCATAGCATTACCTGTACCCACCCATGCTACTCAAATTCTGTTGTGAGTGAATGAAGACTTGATATCTAGTATACAATGCAACACTTAAGTAGTTGCAGACCCAGATACAACAGATAACCTAACCCTAGAATCCATGGATTGTTCTACTCTTAAAGATCTAGTGACTCACAACACCCCCTCTCAAGGTGAACACTATAAGTCCAGCAAACTTCTTGTAAATCTGCCAGAGATCTCATTCCAATAAAAAATCGATGTTTGTCAAACTTGTATCGTGGTAGGGGTTTCGTCATAAGATCAGCTGGATTGTCTTCAGTGTGTATGTACTCAAGTGAAATTTCCTAAGCCCACCCATAGCATTACCTGTACCCACCCATGCTACTCAAATTCTGTTGTGAGTGAATGAAGACTTGATATCTAGTATACAATGCAACACTTAAGTAGTTGCAGACCCAGATACAACAGATAACCTAACCCTAGAATCCATGGATTGTTCTACTCTTAAAGATCTAGTGACTCACAACACCCCCTCTCAAGGTGAACACTATAAGTCCAGCAAACTTCTTGTAAATCTGCCAGAGATCTCATTCCAATAAAAAATCGATGTTTGTCAAACTTGTATCGTGGTAGGGGTTTCGTCATAAGATCAGCTGGATTGTCTTCAGTGTGTATGTACTCAAGTGAAATTTCCCCCTCTAATCATCCCCTCCCAAAGGGAAAAACATCTCAAGCACCACCTCATAACCACCATGAGCTAGCAATGCATATGCTCAAACTGTAAAAGTTTAAAACTTTCGATGTAGATGCTGTGCAGCAGAGGCCAACATATTATTTCAAATCTGCACCCAGACCAGACCATATCCATCAGGAGCGACCTAAGCCCACCCATAGCATTACCTGTACCCACCCATGCTACTCAAATTCTGTTGTGAGTGAATGAAGACTTGATATCTAGTATACAATGCAACACTTAAGTAGTTGCAGACCCAGATACAACAGATAACCTAACCCTAGAATCCATGGATTGTTCTACTCTTAAAGATCTAGTGACTCACAACACCCCCTCTCAAGGTGAACACTATAAGTCCAGCAAACTTCTTGTAAATCTGCCAGAGATCTCATTCCAATAAAAAATCGATGTTTGTCAAACTTGTATCGTGGTAGGGGTTTCGTCATAAGATCAGCTGGATTGTCTTCAGTGTGTATGTACTCAAGTGAAATTTCCCCCTCTAAAACTCGTTCTCTTACAAAGTGATGCTTTGCCTTGATGTGTTTGGTTTTAGCATGAAAAACCGGATTAAGAGCGAGCTTTACACCACCTTGATTGTCGCATGAGAGATGCAGGTCTGCTTGAGTTGGAATAGCTGCGTGCTTGAGGTCTTCACGAATGTTGGAGTCTTGACATGTAATCGGGACTGCAATAGGTGGTATGATCTGGAGCTCGTCGACGTATGTAGACTCCTTCTTTGGTTGCTTCAGAATGTGCCTTGTACTCTGCCTCGGGAGTACTGTTTGAGATTGTAGCTTGTTGTTTTGAAGACCAAGAGATTGGACCACTGGCTAGCACAAACAAATAAGATGCAACAGAGCGACATGTATTGTGACAATTCAGATAGTCTGAATCTGAGTAACCACGGAAAGAAGTAGAGACATCTTTGTTGTAAAGAAGACCATAGTCTCGTGTAAAGTTAAGCTAACGCAGTATGTGATTTACAGAGTCCAAGTGTGCTTGTTGCGGCGAATGCATGTAACGAGTTACAACTCCAACCGCATAAGACAAGTTGGGACGAGTGTTGCACAGAAAGATCAACTTGCCAACAATGTGGGAGTAGGCTGAAACATCGACATGCATTGTTATTGTGTCAGCTTCCAAGACATGGCCAACTGGAAGTGAGATTTGTTGGACCATCGAGGGATCAAGCTTGATTTGTCCAGCAGTTCTGCAGTATATTTGTGTTGATGAAGAAACAAATTGCCTTAGCCTGTGAAATTCAACATCGAGGTATCGAGAAACAGTTCCTAGACCCTTCATGCGATAGCGTTGATGTAGTTGCGTCTTCATCTTTGCTATGGGTGCAAAACAACTTCCTAGAAGTAGTGGATCATCCACATAGAGAAGTAGCATAGTGATTATCTTCCCTTCTCGAAGAAAATATAGGTATAGGATCAAAGTTACTTTGAGCCCAATCAACTGATCGCAGATAGGAGTTAATCTCCTTGTACCATTGTACCATAAAAGCTCGAAGTGTTGACCATTGTACCACATGTGCAAATGTTTCCTTGTAGTCAATGCCATGTTTTTGTTCAAGTACTCTAGCTACCAAACGTGCTTTTAATCGTAGAGAGGTAGCATTTGGTTGAGATTTGGCCTTGAAAATTCATTTAGATGAGAGTGCTTCCTTGCCTTTTGGTAGCTTGACTAGTTCCCATGTGGAGTTTGAAATGACAAAGTCGAACTACTCTTGCATTGCTTCTCTCCATAGAGGATTTTTGAGAGCTTTAGCCACTTACAGTTGATCATCAGTAGGTTGTTACGTCTACACTATGTTGATGGAGCTGTGACCTCGTACATGATATTTATCCTGCAAAAACTGAGGAAGTCTTCTACTTTGTCGACTAGGATTACGTCTTGGACCAAGATTAGGAGCCCTGTGAAGTACATCTGTTCGTGGCGACGCTGGTAACAGCGATGAAGATGTTGATGTTGGTGACGATGACTGTTGAATTGTTTGATGTGTATTCGCTTCAAAATTGTCATCTTCTGGCTACAACAATATGTCAGATGTCTCCTCTTTAGTGTCAAATCCACTGAATAGGTCCACAAACTTCTGAGTATCCTGGAAATGACCTAATACATTATCAAAAAAATGTTACATCATTTGTAGAGATGATTCGTCGGGTCACTGGATCATAGCAACGATACGACTTAGAGTCATCATAATAGTCTACAGATACACACCTATGTGCCCTAGAATGCAGCTTGGTTCATTTGTCTTGTGCAATATGCACGTAAACAATACAACCAACAACTCGGAGTCGATATCGATCAAGAGGCGATCCGTGCAGTTTCTCAAAAGGTGTTGTAAGGTTGAGTGCGCGAGTGGCACAACGATTCAACACGTAGTTAACAGCTTGTAGTTGTTCCATACATAGATGAGGAGGAAACTTGTACATGTTATATATGCAACGAGCAGCTTCAAACAACATACGATTTTTGCGTTCAGAAATACCATTCTGATGAGGAGTTGCTGGTGTCGTGAGTTGCCGAGTGATGCCTTTCTTTGCACACTAAAAATTGAACTTCTTGGAGAGGTATTCACCTCCTCTATCAGATCAAGTGCAGTGACTTTTAGATTCCAATCATGTTCGATGTGCCAAATTGAAGCCACCTTGTGTGGAAAGAGATTTTCTGCAAGGAGTACAAATTGTTGGAAGTGATGCAAAGTCTCACTTTTGATACGCATGAATCTGATCCATGTTAAACGGGTGTAATCATCAGTGAAGGTTAGCAGGTACTTGAACTCGGTTCCTGCTTCAATTGATCCGTATAGATCGTTGTGGACTAACTGTAGTGGACGAGTTATCTTCTTAAGTGCAAGTTTGGATTTTC